TCTTGGGTTGTGGGTTAGAACAAAAGGGATCTTTTCGTTGCTCTCCTCTTCGTGATGTCTAATAGTACGTAATTCGTTAATGGGTATTTCCTTTGCTTTCAGGAAATACCCATTAACGAATTACGTACTATTACGTACTATTAGACATCACGAAGAGGAGAGCAACGAAAAGATCCCTTTTGTTCTAACCCACAACCCAAGAAATCACAACATCTTTAAAACTGCCAAACAATTTTTCCCTATTATTCAACAATCAGAAACATTAAGGGACCTTATTAAACCAGAGGATATACTACACAGCAGGCGTCAACCTCCCAATTTGAAAAAGATTCTTACCACTGCCAAATTTACATCGAACCCCGAGAAACCGATGGTTTCTAAGTGCGAGGATCCACGATGCGGAACCTGTCAATTTTTAAAAACCGGCCAAACCATTATTTTTAAAAACGGAATGAAGTTTGATGTTAAATCTTCTATGACGTGTAAATCTAAAAACCTTATATACTGTATGACGTGTCCTACATGTGAGGAAAATTATATAGGACAAACCGGAACCAAATTAGCCGATCGTGTTCGCGTGCACAAACAACAGATTAAGGATCCGACCATACGAAACACGCAATGTAGTGAACACTTTGATTCTTGTGGCAAAGGACATTTTTATATATTTCCTTTTTACAAAATAAAAGAGGAAAATGAACAATTACGGAAAGCCAAAGAACAATATTTTATAAATCTGTTTAAACCAAAATTGAACTGCTAAAAGGAATTTATATCAAATTATTTTATTATGTACATTTTATATAAAATGTCTCCATTATTGTACATTTATAATAGGCGCTTAACTTTGATCAGATGAACTGTAAAACTTTATCTGTGCGCCTCATTGAACTGTGATTATTATTACGTCACAATCATTATGTATAACGTTGCCTACATAACGTCACGAGAATGACGTCATAATGTAACTTGTTTACAATTTCAAATCTACTGATGAGCCCGCAAGGGGCGAAAGCGATTTAGATAAAAGTTTGAGTTTATCATTTGAATTTGGATTTTATATATATATATATATATATATATATATATATATATATATATATATATATATATATATATATATATATATATATATATATATATATATATATATATATATATATATATATATAGTTATTTGCCCTGTCCGTCCGTCTGTCTAGCTGTTTGTCCACCAAATATCTAACATTGCAAACAACCTTTTCCTGTGTTGGGGATGAATTTCATATTTTACAGGTGTATTCCTTCAGACAAGAGCTTAATTTCTTTGGATACTACCAAATTTGACCCCTTGATCATGACCTTGGAGTTTGGTTCATTTTTACTAAAATACACAAATTTTAACCTTGGCAATAATTAACTTTTGAACAGCTAGTGTCAGTTAGGGCTTTCATATTCACACGTGCATTCACTGTGATTTCACTTGACAGGACCTTTAAATTGATATAAATATTTTTGACCTTGACCTAAAAGTTTGACCCACTTTGAAAAAGAATCTTGACCACAGCTTTTGAACAGTAAAGATCAGGGCTTTCATATTCCACAAGTGTATTCCCTGTGAAAAGACCTCCCTCTTGATACCAACAATTTTGACCTTGGAATTTGACTTGCATTTGAGAAACTTCAACCACCGTCGTAAGTTGCAATTGTTCTAATGGGGCATTGGTATTTTACAAACACATTATACTGTGTATAATATGGTGTCCGGATAGGGCCATTTGCGTTAGCGCGACATCGCGTTCAGATAAACGCGCCGTCGCGCTAACACATAACACGCCGTCGCGCTAACGCAACTTTGCACAACGCGCCGTCGCGCTAACGCAACTTTGCACAACACGCCGTCGCGCTAACACACAACACGCCGTCGCGCTAACACAACTTTGCACAACACGCCGTCGCGCTAACGCAACTTTGCAAGTTTCACAGTCTAGTAGGAAGTCGTGTACGGAAATATAAGACTGCGCATGCTACGGAAGCGTATTTGGGCCGCAGCAGTATTTTTCCTTAATTTGTTATAACAAATTATTAATTTGTTACAACAAATTATTAATTTGTTATAACAAATAATTAATTTGATATAACAAATTATCAATTTGTTATAACAAATTATCAATTTGTTAAAACAAATTATCAATTTGTTTAAACAAATTAGTTATTTGTTAAAATAAATTAGTAATTTGATAAAACAAATTTTCAATTTGTTAAAATAAATTAGTAATTTGTTAAAACAAAGTATCAATTTGTTAAAACAAATTATCAATTTGTTTAAACAAATTAGTAATTTGTTAAAACAAATAATCAATTTGTTTAAACAAACTAGTAATTTGTTTAAACAAATTAGTAATTTGTTAAAACAAATTATCAATTTGTTTAAACAAATTATCAATTTGTTTAAACAAATTAGTAATTTGTTATAACAAATTTTTATAATTTGTTAAAACAAATTATCAATTTGTTATAACAAATTATCAATTTGTTAAAACAAATTATCAATTTGTTATAACAAATTATCAATTTGTTATAACAAATTAATAATTTGTAATAACAAATTATCAATTTGTTTAAACAAATTAATAATTTGTTATAACAAATTAATAATTTGTTATAACAAATAAAAAAAATACTGCTGCGGCCCTAATACACTTCCGTACCTTTAAGATTCCCAAGACCAATCTCATCCAGAATTTCATCCATTATGTGGTTAAGCATGCGCAGTCTTATATTTCCGGACACGACTTCTTTCTAAACTGTGAAACTTGCAAAGTTGCGTTAGCGCGACTGCGTGTTGTGCAAAGTTGTGTTAGCGCGACGGCGTGTTGTGCGTTAGCGTGACGGCGCGTTGTGTGTTAGCGCGACGGCGCGTTGTGCAAAGTTGTGTTATAGCGCGACAGCGTGTTGTGCAAAGTTGTGTTAGCGCGACGGCGTGTTGTGTGTTAGCGTGACGGCGTGTTGTGTGTTAGCGTGACGGCGCGTTGTGCAAAGTTGCGTCAGCGCGACGGCGTGTTGTGTGCTAGCGCGATGGCGTGTTTATCTGAACGCGATGTCGCGCTAAAGCAAATGGCCCTATCCGGACACCATAGCTTTAAAATTAAATCATCAATTAAATAAAAAAAAAACATTTTACAGGCGATTTGTCTACGTAAATAAAAAAAAATGCATTTCAAAAACAAACAATCTTGTCACGAATCTATGAATACATTCCTCATTAATTCTAGAGTTAACTAGAGGTACTGTGAGCAATGAGCTCACTAAATAATACCCCCCGCCTCCCATATGAATATAATGGCAGTATCCATGTTTTGTTCTGGAAAATTCAAAATATTTGTCGGATCAAAAAGTAAAATAGGAGGTGCACAATAGCAAAGTGTAATAAAGATTCTGTGAAAGTGTCATTAAATTTCCTACATTGGTATGAGAAGAGTTGCGGATAAGAGAAGGGTACCCAAAAGCGTAACAGACGGACGGACGGACAGACGGACGGACGGACGGACGGAATTAACGATTACTATATACCCTCCCGCTTTTCAAGCGGGGGGTATAATAATAATTTATCTCTGTCGTATATACATTTAGATCTACGAAATACGCATTTTTGTCTCTGCAAGCTGACGCTATAAAATACTCAAGGCCGTAACTACCATTGAGGCAAGTGAGGCAAATGCCTCACTAAATTTTTAGTTTTCTGAAAAGTGAAAAGTTTTATATTGAAATTATGAGTTGTGTGTTTCGTCGTGCTGAATTAATATTTTTAATTTTTTGTTCATCTCACCAGATACCTCATTTTTATTTAGAACGCATGTAAAATATAATTCAAAATGTTTGTTTTATAAATTGTTTGATTGTTAAAGATCCCTTCTAAGAATTCCTCATTCGTATTGAGACACCACTACAAGTACTTGCCGGTGGAGGGCTGCAAGTTTTACTTGATTTACAAGTCTGTACCGGGCTTTCAGGGTCACTGAAGATGTTTGAATAGTGAGAGATTTTGTTTGTGCCATCACTTACTATGACATAGGACCTCGGTTTTTACAGTCTCATCCGAAGGACCGGTATCTACATCCCGCAGAGGGGATCAACTCCCTAGTCTACGACTCTAGACCATACGCTCTTAAACCACTCCATGCAGGCAACAATTTAAAACGTAGAAGAAAACTTTCTGAGATCATTTTTTTTATTTTCTAAGACCCAGGTTTCAGGACCCCCCCCCCCCCCTCCCTGGAACCCCCCATCACTGGCCATCAGGTACTACCCTTGCCCCATCTGGGACTAAGAATGCCAAGCACCCTTGCCTCACTAAAAATTTGAGCCTAGTTACGGCCTTGATACTGCGTCATCACTCTTAAGCAAGCCTGAAAATTTCTGATTTTAATCTGCTTTTATATGAAATTTACTGTTATTTCATTTTCGACTTGCAACAAATTTGAAAGTAAAATTTTAATTAACTGATCTGCACGCACTGACAGAGCCGTCGCCAAGTATTGATTTCTGAAACTAGAAAGGACCCTCCTCTATTGGATTCTATCCATGCGTTCTCCCGAACACCGTCGGTTTCTTATACTTTTTTAATCATCCTTAAATTGTTGGATCCACTTCTCAATGTCATTTCTTGCCACTCAACTTTGAATGTATCCTCTTCCAAAATAATATTTTACTTTTACTATAGATTTTTTTTCAATGAAAGGCATCCCTCCTTTTTCCCGCCAAATACTTATAACTGTTTTTGATCAAACTTTTTCATTGGATGTACATGTATCCCTTTTATTGGGGAGATGGAAAGGTTTTTTTTTTTAGATTGTGCGAAAATCAAATAACCAGCTGCTTAGCTCATTTTTTTTCAGATTATGAAAATGTAAAAATATGAGAAATGTGAAAATAGGCACATTTGCATGTGTGATTTGTAAAAATAAATGTTTACCTAAACCCAATACACAGAGCAAAGACAATTATTTTCACGTTTTTATTCATACTCTTTCTCCAATTTTAATTTGTCTATAAAACAATTTCTCATTGAGATCCATTGACAATAAAACACCCGTATCAATACCTGTATTATCACGAAAACATATTCAATATGTTGATAACGATTTCGTTTTTATATGCACATGAACTAATAAAAGTTCCTTGAAAATATTCATCACAATTACATTTATATATAAACAATCAACAATTTGCATGACCAGAAAACGAAACCAACATAAAATTGTATTCATACATTTCAGATTACTTGTATTTGTAAAAGAAATGGCAGTTTTATTGCAAAAAAAATAAATGGTTATAGTTAGAGTAGTTAATAAGATATATAAATAATTTAAAAAGTACGAGATTCAATCCTGTTTTATATAAATATTTTGATATACATGTATTTATAGCTATTGAGACACTTTATTAGGATGGTCCACATAATGAATTTTATTTTTATCTGACTTCCTCAACGCAACCGTCACAATGACCCCATCTGGGTACTGAACTTCAAGTCTTTGTGGTTTATCCTCCCCGATTCCGAAGTGTGCAATGGGCTCCATTTGGCAGAGATACCCTGATCCTCCATCAATAACACTGTTGTAAACCTTCCCTGACCGGGTAGTTAACTTTACGTGGGCCCCTCGGGCCGGTGCCCCGTATTTGGTACGGGGGAACACCCTCACCCACTTATTTCTTTTCCCGGTCGAATCTTTAGCAAGTTGACGATTTACCTTGTACACTTGTAATGGCTGTGTTTTGCTTTCCCCGTGTGACACCAGAAGGTCTAGTAAACCATCTCCATCCATGTCCGTTATCGCTGCCCCCGTTCCGAACCCCCGCGGCTCTTTAGCCTGTCCGATGTCAATTTTACGGATGACAGGATCATTACTGTTATTTACTGGATTAGGTACAATAGTGAATAATTTATTAGGCTCCCTGTCATTTGGATCTCGGTGGCTACAGATGTTGTTCATGAATATGTCAGTGTCCCCGTTGTTGTCGAAATCGGCGGCAATAACAGTGCGGATTTTTGTAGGAACAGCATAATCTCCTGTGGCAACATTCTTAAATTTCCTAACCCCAGAGGCTGATATATATTGCATAAACAGTCTATGTGGGCCAGCCCAGTTGCCATAGGCAATATCCAGTAATCCGTCTCTGTTAAAATCTCCTAAACTTATTCCTCTTGCATTATTATATTTGTCCTGAATCTCTGCCTGTTCAGCAATATCTACAAATGATCCGTTTCCAAGATTTTTGAATAGAAAATTGTCTCCGGGATTTCCCATCCACGGGTTACCTTCATTTCCAAAGAAGATGTCAGATTTTCCATTGTTCCCCAAAATAGGCCCCACAACAAGTCCTCTTCCACCAGTGGCTTTATTGATATTTGCAACACTTGCTACATTTTTTAACACAATATTTCCCGACCTCACATTGTTGCTCGGATGGTTTTCATCCATCTCGACTAAAGCAAAGTTACCAGTGCCTCCCTGAGAATAAGTTGCAATAATGATAGAGTATTTTCCAGTTCCAAGTCTGTCAATGCAAGCTACTGACCGGCCAGCAAAACTCTTGGCTTCCATTCTGGAGTTGACTGGATCCGAGTATAAATTGACGTACCTACCATTCCTCCATTTGAAAAATGAATCTCCATAATCGGCACGACCAGCATATGCATTATTTGTATTCAGGAAATAAATTTCCTCTCGTCCATCTCCATCAATGTCACACGCACAAACACCAATTGCTTGACCACCAACATCACCTATGGCACTAAATCTTTGATCTTGCTTTGCAAGATTGACTAGACTTTTGGTTGTAGCGTTGTATTTCAACACAAAATTAGGTCCACTAAAACCTGCAACGATCCATTCTAGAGACCCATCGTTATCTACATCTGAAACAGCTACTCCATAGTTTAGCTGAGAAGTATCCAGTCCTTTCAACCATTTCGTTCTTTTGAACATGCCATCATTTTGTCCCAGTGCTGCATTAATGCTGTCGATGTACAACGAAACAACGGAAAATAGGAAAGCTAATGTAATAGCTGTAACGTTTCCCTTCATCTTTGTTTTCTTGTGCATTCCGTACACGCAAGTGTTTCAATTTGCAAACGCTGCGTTACATATATGCGGACTTCCTACACGTGATGAAGTTACGAAACGTGCGTGTTGTTAAATAAGTTTATTTACAACATGGTCACTAAAGCGCTTTGATTTTCTCATGATATGAAACATTTCTCTGACTAAGCGATAGACAGACCGGAAACGCTTTCAAGCATGCGTGGATTTCAGATGAGAAAAATTTCTCAGAGGAGACAGATAGAAAAAAATGTGTTTACATGTTTAAGCAGTTATGTGGCAACCTAATATGTTACTGTTTGATAGTCTCAAAGTTTTATCACTCATGTGTGGAAGTGAAATTTAAGGCTTGATTAAAGAAAATGATGATTTACAGAGTAGATATCTTGTAAACATTGCATAGACAGGTTCAACTTCTAATCAACAGACATGAATCAGTCAGTGGAAAGTGCCACTGATGTGGATAATGACATCATCGAAATTATACCGATGGAGGAGTATGATAGTAACAAGGTACTGTCAATAAATTTGGATGTCTTTATCATGTTTATACAAATGAACAAGTTTTCAATGTATGATGTCAATATTGTCAAAGTCATTGCAAATCACCTGATTTTCTTTTTTAATTTGAAATTTCATAAGGCTTGTGCATAGATATATGACTTCAAAATACAATGTGACATCAAAGACTAATGGTTTTGCCAAAGTCAGATGGTCTGTGCTGAATTCTGATGGAATGAAAGTTGTTGAAGAATGAAAATTTACTATTTGAATGAAAGATCCTTTAAAGGCCAGTGACATTTTGACAGTAGAGCATTCTGTGTAGTATTGTATAGTATTTCTGTTAGGATTTTCCCCCACTTAATTGACCTCATTACCTAAGGTTAAAGAATAACTTCTCTTATCAAACACATTTTTGTGGAGATTGACTTGGCCAAACACAAATTGAACTTTACATGGACAATTTGAGAAGTGTTAAAGTTGTAATCAATAATCACAGTAATAAAATAATAATTTTGGCTATTTACAGGCAAAGCTTCAGTGCTCTGTTTCATGGATTCTTGACAAAGCATATAGAGAACAAATACCAAAGGACCTGAAGGACCCCTTCTATGAAACTCAGGATGTAAGAATCTTCAAATCTTTATCAGTTGTGTCAATGTATTAAAAGACTAAACAAAACCCTTATAAACCAAAACAACCCCTTCAAAGAAATTAATGAAATTAAAAGATATTGCTTTTAAGTGTATGCCTATTGGTAATTAAAGAACAATTTAACTGTTTATGCAATACTGTACAGTGAATGTAAAAAAATTATTTAAAATTAACATGATTATTGACGTTACCAATTTGAATTTAAAGGGTGCATTGCATGTTAAACCTCAGTTGCTGAACCTGATGGTTTCCAGTGAAATTTATTGTCAAGCCTGCAACAACATGTTTGGAGATTCTTCCTTACAATGGCAAGGGACATCAGGTGGGAAACAAAACTACATGTAACTAACAATCATTCAACATAGATTTCAGAGGGATTAATACCGTATATACTCGCCTATAAGTCAGATTTTGGAGTTAATCTCTTGTCCAAAACTCTATGTCCGACTTATAGGCGAGCTATAAAATGAATAGTATAATATGAGGTCAGTCCCTCTGATATATAAGCTTATTAAATACAACCGACTTATAGGCGGACCGACTTATAGTCGAGTATAAACGGTAAGTAGATGTTTCATTTTCCATGTTTCCACATCCATTTTCAGAGAAAAAAAAATTAAATCCTGCTTCTCTGTGACTAGCAATTACACCAGTATTTTTTGCTTTTCTGCAACTTATTTCAGCTCTTGTACTAACTTTAACAGTATATGAATTTCAAAATGATGTGTTGCAGGTCATTCAACCATAATACAGGTGATGTCCAGGAAAGGAATCTATGTTGTTGATGCGAGTGATAATGCTGTTACAGAATCTGTGTTGATTAAATCTGCTCCCTTTGATGTGGTAGGTGTGAGAAAATGCAGACAGAAGGTCTGAAGGGAAGGATAACATTATTTGAAACCAAATAATTCTTTTACGCAGCACTGTTAAGGCTTACTATGAAAAATCAACAGAAAATAGAAGTGCAAAAACGGGAATAGTTTTTGAAACTGAAAATTTATTTTTATTCAGATGTTTTATTATCACAGACCTTAAATACATATGGAAATAGCATAATATAACCAATCTGATTAAAATCAGATCCTTTGATCCGCTCACATAAATCGCTTCACAAGGATCTGAAGAAACCCCATTCAGGGTCATCTCCTGGTGACCTTTCTAATAAAAATATTCATGAAAATTTTGACCAATCAGAGAGATCGTACTTAAGCGACATTCGGGAAAACGAATATAGAAGTGAAAGTAGCTGCGGAGAAGATCTTATCGTTTCGTACAAAACAAAGAGCTAAAAAACAAGACAAAAGCAAGTACTTATTATATTACTGTACAGAAAAGACTTTGGTTCTTCTCTTGACAGGCTACAGGAACTAGGTCACGGTTTTTCCATTCGTGTATCATCGGGCTTTTTGTAACTGAAATACTTTCCAATTCTCCAAAGTGAACATTTGATTGGATAATTCAAAGGTCACCAGGAGATGACCCTGAATGGGGTTTCTTCAGATCCTTGTGTAGCGATCTATGTGAGTGGATCAAAGGATCTGATTTTAATCAGATTGATAATATAACCTACTTTGTACTGTATGAAGTTTGGTCCCATCGATGGACAGTCACTTGAGAAATGCACAGTACGTGTTCTTAACTCTTTTCCCCTTAGACCTTTCCCTCCTTTACCCCTTAATGACGACTTCTGACGCCTAGGCCCCAACCCTTAATGACGACTTTTGACGCATGTGTATTTCATTGTTGATTTGCAATTGGCTTGAAATTACCGCTTGTTTACTAGTTATCAGAACACAGATGGCCACCTGCAGGTTACACTAGATGATTGCATCATACTACAGTCAGAAATCACATGATTTACCTGTGTAAACAAACAATAGAATCTTGGAAAGTCCCACCAAAATTCAAAATGGCGGACTGTTACATACGATGTTTTTTGAGCATATAACTCAGTAAATACGCAATATTTTCTCATCCAGTGAAGCATTACATGAAATTCAAGCTTTAAACTACCTATTTCTTGAAAGGTTTGAAAATTATAATGATCTATATGTGTAATATACTCCAACAAAGATATGAAAATTTTGAGAAGTTCGGGACCGTGCAGTGCCGATTTCGTTACCTATTTCTCACAAATTCAGAAGATACCTTCCATTTTACACATATTTATAAATGTAAAGGTGTAGAAAATAATTATTTTAATAGATTTGGGTCATTAAAGTTTCAAAAAACGTTCAGAAATCAAGTTTTAGGACGCAAGTCTGAAAATTTGTTGGCGAGATTGACATTAAAGAAGCACTACAATTTATCGATTTCTGAGGAATTAAACTTATTAAAATGATAATAAATAATAATTTAACCATCAACTATATCATCACACATATTTTTTAATTATTTAAACAGACAATTTTGGCTTATTAAAGCCGTTTTACATGTTGAAAATATCTTTTTTTCTATTTTCACCTGCTTTTACCTGAATTATTTTTTAACAGAAAACTACGATCAAAATTATGTAAATAGATTTGAAAAATTTAATTTATTACGAATCCAATGATATATAATACATAGTATAAATAAAATATTTTGACCCTTTTTTGTTCAATTTTAAACTGCACTCTATTCTAATTCATCTAAACTGCTCTAAGGGGCAGCCAGGCAAACACTCTAAGGATATGGCCAGTGCATCAAATCGTGGCATTAAGGGGTAAAGAGTTAATGTAGGTCATTAACAAATTTCAATATCGCAAGGGCATACCCTACTTGGAATTGAAAATTCAAGCTATTAATTGTTTCTGTATACTTTGTACTTTCTGAAAAGTGCTGCTGCTTTGTATTGAATTCGCATTTTAATAGTTAAAATTTCCAAGTAAATAGGCCCATGTCGATATATGTGTGACTTTTACCAAATATATTGTGTACTTATAAAGTCACACTCTCGATTTAAAGAAAGCAGCAGCACTCAGAAGTTAAGGAATATATCCTTTATTTATATTCAAAAAATTGTTAAGATTTATTTAGTGTATGCCCTTGCGAAAGAACGATTAAATGAGGCACCTCAATGTAAAATATACCTAACCTGAACATAAAAACACGACAAAATTATTTAAATACATTCTCTCAATAGTTAATGAATAATCGCACTAAAGAAATAATATACATGGGTGTTAATAGCCTATTCAAAACCTGTAAATAATATTCTGTTTTATAATAAAACGCATTTCTCATTGTTAACAAATTAAATTCCTCAATCTGCCTTTCACAGCACATGAAATACGTCATTTTTACTAAAATGACATAATGATTGACAAGTTCATCGAGATCAGTGATATGTTAATAACTAGCTGTATGGGAATAAACTAGCAACTTTTTTTTAATGCATTAATAAATTTCATTGTTGTTTATTATGCTAATACAGTTTCAAGTTGCAAATTATTTCATTTTCTGGTATTATGAGGAATACATAAAAGTCATTCTTTGTGTGACGTCACAGTAAACTTTTCCTGTATAAATTAGGCCCCTCCTCCTTTTTTTCAGCCTTAACAATGCTGCCTATTGTATGAGTTTCTTTCTGTGAACTACCTGGTACAAATGTGTGTTTATTCAGTCCATGTTAACGATGTATAATTTTTTTGGAATTTCTAAATTTTAAGGTCATACGCAACGTAGTTTGAACATTTTTGGATTCTTCCCTGGAGTTGAAGAGTTCCACTAAATGAAGGACCTGTGTGCAGTATTTTTAATGTCTATATATGGATTTGTACACCTCTTCTCAAACAATTTTTGATGAAAAAACATCTGGAATTTATGTTTTATAATTCTTATACATGTACATTTTTATTTGAATAATGCAAAAATTTTCAAAATTCGATATCTTTTCAAAATCCCTAACGCATGCTGATTTTTTGCCTAAAAACATGTAATGATGTTATAAGTTTAAATTTAGAATATCTTGGAAAATTATCAGTAGGTAAGGTACGTTGCGTATGTCCTTAAAATTATGTCTAATGATATACTTTACATGTATATTTTGAAAAAAGAGAATTAAGAATGATTTTAATATTTTCCCATCCTTCTATATAGGGTGCCCACATAGCCTTGATAGATGCCTTGATGCTGGCTTATATCAGGCAGACAGTGTCCATTGAGAAGATTGTTCAGGCAGTGAGGAAGTTTGCCACGTTTAACGCCTCCAGCGAGCTACCCTCCAGTGTAGAAGACGCTCTCTTGTTCTGGATCAACAAAGTCTGTGTAGCTGTACAGCTCAGTATTAACAAGGAAGACAACCAGGTGTTAGAAGGAGAGACAAATCAAAAGGTTCATGTTTTGTTTAATTATAAAATGTGTATGTCATGCTGAGTTCCATCTAATCAAGAATTCCAAGTGCTATTGTTATCATGTTTTATGGTCATCAAATCAAAAATGTACAGGAAACATGTATTCTGTAGGAATTGAGCATTTTGAAATAATTTTTCAGTAAAACTAAATGTTTTAAATATTAAATATCTCAAATTTTAGGTGAGGATAGTAAGTAAAACAGGGATGAGTATGAGGGATTCGGTGAATATTCCCCTGATAGAGGATCTGTCTCAGGACATCGGGGATGGCTGCTCTCTGGCTGTCCTGATAAGCTTCTACTGCCCCTCAGCACTTAATCGACAAGGTAGGTGTCATTTTTATTCTTCAGTTATCCTTTCTTAGTAAAAATGTGAGTGTGGTTCATCTTTTTTCCATGTTCTATTAACATGTTTTAAGATAATATGCAGTTTAATTTACACGTTTCATTAAAGAAAAAACAACATTTAAAAATTACTCTTTTATAACTACCATTTCTAAAACATTTTTAGAATTCAACTATGATTTAAAAAATGGTATGTTTTAAATGCAATCAAATTATGAACATATTTAATGAAGTACATATATTTCAGATATAAAACAGAATGATATTGCTACCTTGGAATTCATCATGAATACCCATTTTAATCACTGAACATCAATATGTCATTCTTAATTTGTACCTGTATGATATAATCACATCTTAACAGTAACAGCATGCATATTTATAAAAAGAATATCTCAAATATGAAATTTCTTACATTAAATTCAGTGGAAAGATCAGCAAATTGCACTTCTGGTAAACTGAATGCAAATATATCTCAAATTTCTTTACTACCCGGGTACTAATTCCCTAGCATCATGCCGATTGCAACTCTCTCTCCCTCTCCTAGATTATCTCTCAATTTTCTTTAAAAATCAACAAAGAAACACATCTGACATTGTATAATCATCAGTTGAAGTAAAATGAAAAATTAATGTTACATATTTAGTTCAGTTTTTGTGGAAGATCTTCTTAACTCTTATTATTACAACTTCTTCAAATATATATTTAATGTTTCTGTTTCTTCAGATATCTGTTTGAAGTCAAATGTTGGCATAGCTGATTCTCTGTACAACTTGAGGCTGGTGAAGGAATTCTGTGATAACTATATCCCAGGAAAAGTTTTTCATCTCACTTACGAAGACTTTCTATACATGCACAACAATCTGCGAGGGAATGTGGAAGTATTCCTGGCAGAGCTGTTTTACTGGTTTGAACTTCAGAAACTGGACTGTGTGCAAGACGAATCGGGTAAGTATAAACCACTAACCCAATAACTTCCTGACCATTTTATTTTAAGGTTTGCTAGTGATTTACTTAGAGTACCTAGGATATTTAAGTGCTCATATATTAATTTTCATGACATTATTCATATGAATAAAAAATTTTCTGCAGAATTAAAATTGATTTTCTTTTAGGTTCTCGTCCCACCACTGCTAAGAAACTGACCAGTAATGCCATTCCAAACCTGCCCCCAATTAGTAATGTCACCAAACAGAGCTTTCATAAGACATCTGTAGATGATGCTGGGGTCCCCCGTAATGTGATGCAGATGGCTCCAAGACAACCTCTGTTACACAAACGCCAGCAGGAATCTATCCATGAACCTTCTGTCAGCCAAAAAGGTGAGTATAAGCATATTAAGTGGTGTCTGCATCTAAATGAAGTAAAAAAATAAAAAAAAAAAAATTGAAAATTTATATTGACTTTTGAGTTAAAAAGTTTTATTATTTAAAAAAAAATTACCTAAATGCTGAAGCATTAAATGTGACTGGCATTTGTACATTCCCATCCATGGTTGTAATAAGCAATTAAAAATTTTTGTTTTATAATATACATTGTATTAAAAACTTAAAAGTATAAGTGAATTGTAGGTCAAGGGACTGATCGACCAAGACCCAAGTCAGCAGTGACAGTCAGTGATAGGAATGTGGTACATCAGTCTGTGTTAGCCTGGCAGGAGGACAGTCAAAAGTAAGTACCAGTATTCTGTATTTAATTTTATTGATGTCTATGAAATATTGTCAGGATGTTCAATAATTAATTTAAATGGGGAAATCAAATAAAAATTGTTACCTTACAGTGTTCATAAAAGCCTGATGATTAAGTCTTACACAGAGGCTAAATCGTAAGTGTTACATGTATATTGGCCATGTAGTCCAATAGATATTGCTTGTTATATACGTATGTACACATGTATGCATGTTTTCATGCTGAGGATTCATTGATTACTAAATGAATTGCTCTAACCAGAGACCCATATGATCATGTACATGTATGGGTCTCTAGTCTCACAGAAATTTTGTAAGTGCATATACATTGTAATGTGATGGTGTTGTTCTCTTATTAACACATAATGACTACGGGCTCTTCAATTATGTTTTTTTTTCTTTGAGCAGGTCAGATTTAATGAAGCAGAGTGGTGGGAGTAACTTGTTGGCCAATGTTAGTATTGACTCTGAGTTAATGGAAAGCTTTACTGATGACCAGCTGGGAAGCCTCGACATGGACCTAAGTGACACACCCCCTCCTACACTTCCATCCAATGAGGAGGCTAGAAACTTGGCATCTAATTTGCATGATCCAAGTCATCCAGATTATATGGAAGTACAAAGTGTTACTTCAGGAACTGTGACAAATAGAACAATTCATCATGAAGAACTAAGGCCAGACAGTGAAGTTAGCTTACCTCAGAAACCACCAAATCATCAAGATTTGTTGAACGAATTTAGTGCTCAAGTTGATCCTAGAATCAACAGACAAAGTAAGGATCAACAATATGAACCCCTTTTACCAGCAAAACTAAAACCTTGTAAAGAAGCAATAAATAACCATAGCAAAGAACAGGAGAGAGGGGAACAGGCTTTATTTACCAAATCTGTGAAGTCCAGAGAAATGGACGTGGGGTCTTCCAGTGTGTTGAGTGAACAGAGTGACAGCAGTAGTTCAGTACCGGTCACTCCTCTCCCAGACGACCAACTCTCGGATCAGGATGTGCCCAAACAACCACGGTACACTGCATTTACAGTTAACGCAGAACTGTCACAAGACATGGAATCTCCCCGCAGAAGTGTGTTATCTACAGCACGGAGCCAAGGTGGTACAGCGGATTCAGTCAAAGGGAGCTATACAGTGTCCAATGAAGCCACCTCAGAATCCGCCAGGGCTGCCGGTATCCCAGTGGTGGGTGAAAGTGGAGAGCAGTCGTGGAGGCGATGGGGCTCCAGAGAGGGAAGTGTGGCCAGTAGTAGAAGCTCTGGTGACAACTCCGATCATGAGTCTCACAAAATTCATTACGACCAGAAGGGGAGTGAGAACAAGGACAAAATTAGGGAAGTATCACCACCAAAGTCATTTACACGATTTGGATCCAAAGACAATACAGTGTTTCAAAAGCCCAAAATGATTGTGAGGAATAAAACTACAATATCACCTAAAAAGGAGACTTCTAAGCATATGACAACTAATTTTGCTGAAATAAAAAGAATGAAAAATGTACAAGGGAATGTGGACAATTCTGGAATGGTTTATATGCAGCATGGGCATGAAGTGAATAATAAAGTGATGCAAGGCTCAACCACCCAAATTAATAATAGAAACAACCAAAATACAACATCTCCTAGCAGGACAACATGGCAGCAGACCAGCACTCTGAAATCACCGGATGAAACTACAAGTGATTCTTCTGAAAGCAGTGATAATCGCCCAGTGTTATCAGAACTGACAGAAATCAGGCTCAAGTTGGAAGAAAAAAGGAAACAGATTGAGAGGAAGAAAAACAGGATGGAAATTCAACAGCAGAAGCAACGACAGAAGTTGGGAAAAACAGCTTTTCTCCATGTTGTGGCTAAACCCACGGAGGAGGAAGAAGTGTCAGATGGACACAGTTCACATGGAAGTGAGGCCTCTTTACCTGGAAGTGAGGAGGCTTCGAGTTCCACATCAGACAAGGACCGGCGAACGTCTCTCACTGATGGGAAAACGTCTGGAGCACCCCAAGGCAACAGGGCATTCTCAAGGGAAGGAATTCAGCAAACGATAGAAAATGTGAGGAAGAAGTGGTTTCAAGACGAGAAGGATGAGAGAATTCCACAGTCTGAAATCAAAGTTGAAGAGACTGTGAGTAGGAGAGAGAGTAGTCCTCAAAATGGAGAAGTTTGTGCTTCTGCTGTACAAGAAAGAAGGGAAACTCTGCCTCCAAAACAACCAATTCCAGTGGAGCAGAAGATGACCAAACCAGAAAAGAAAATTCCAGAAACTTCAGAATTAGATGATTCCTCTGTGTACAACCAGAAGTTAGAGAAACTGGATCATGATCTTAATGACTTGAAAGGAGAAATACTAAGGATGTCACTTGAGCAGGAACAGTTTAATGGAAATCCAGTTGTCACTTCAATAGCATCCAGACCTTCAGCTGCTCAATCCAGATATGCAATGGATACCCCTGAAAGGAAATTACAAGGAAAAGCATTCCAAACTCCAGACCTTGCTTCTACAAAGCATATGGATATAAACACTCCAGAGAGACTTCAGTATGGAACACCAGTAGTCTGTTGTCCAGCTGGCCATACGGGCCCTATAGACCCCAGTCTACCCACCCCAGAGAGAGCATTGATGGGAGGAGGAGTAGCTCAGTACCCCCAGGGACTCCCTCCCCAGATGCCTGTAACACAACCATTTCAGCCCCAAGTCCTGCCTCACTCTTCACCCTACACTGGACAAAGTCAGTTCAGTCCTATGCCACATACACATGTGCCATATAGTGGTTTACATACTCATGGCACCATGCCATTCCCTCAACCCCAGTTTCCTCCCACCCCTCCCCAAGTCTACCAACAATCCCCTCCCTATGGGGTAAATCCCAATTTGGTGTCTCCTCATGGCCATTACGGAATGCAGGGGATGTACAACATGACCCCTCAACAGTTCCCTCCCCATTCTCACATCACGTCCTTGTCACCTGCTCATCCTCCTGTCTCATACATGAATTCCCCCAATCACACAGGAGCTCAAGTCTTTCAACCTAATGTAGATAATAATACCATCCCACCTGTGCTATCTGTATCCCAGGCAGAGAAGCCAGCTACTTCTAGTGCTTTCAATTACAGTGGTCTCAGTGATAAAGTGGAAACTCCTGACAAGCAAAATATAAGTGTACAAAACGCAGCTCAGAACAAAAATGATCTACAAAGTGACACTTCTGCTGATCAGAATGGGTTTTTTGTATCCTTTGGAAGTGAATCTCCAAAAACTAAACCGAAACTTTCTAGTGCTAACATTCAAAGGGCAGTAACTCCAGAACCAGCTAGTCAACCAAACCAAACACACCAGTCACCTCCAATGAACCAGTCTAGTCAGTCCGGTAACCTTGACGTGTCAGTCACGCCAGGGAACACTTCTGTCAATTCCCAGATGGACAACTCTCAACATGATTCCTCCGGTATTGGCTTTGTTGTTGGAGAAGGCCAGGAAAATCTTACAAAGGTTTGAAAAGTTGAATATAGATTTTATTTATGTATGATATAGATTTTTAACAAACAATTGTCTTTTTATAATGTAACTTTAAAAAATTGTGCAATCAATTTTTATGGAAAATTTTATTGGAAAAGTAATTTTGCCAATGTTTGATTATCACAGTTTGTGACAGTTAAGTTGATATGTGTTTAATTTTAAGTCCATGGAAGAAGAACTGAATAGGAAGAAAGAAAAATTCATACAAATGCAGATCAAACGCAAAGAGGAACAAGACAAAAAACGTCAATACAAAGAAATGGAAATGGCGCGTCGCAAAGAACAAGAGAGGTAATTGTTAAAATAAAAAGTACATGGAAATCAAATAATTTTTGTCATAGATGTTAATACACTTAGTATTTTCCCTTTATTTCAAAGTAAAGGGTTAGAGATCATTTGTAACAGGCTAGGGTATGAGGTTTATGAATAGAATATCTATGGATCTTACAACAAATATTTATTTCACAGCGGCATTTTTGTCAATTGAAGTGGTCAATTTTGTAGGTAACCGGTTCTTAGGGAAAGTACTAACATGTGTATACAAACAGTCTTTAGAGCAGAATTTTCAAAGAAAATTAAGAGTTTTTAAAGTTAGGAAATTATAGGCATGATAGGTTTTCAAAGTGAAGATAAATAATAGATCTTTTTGACACACAGTTCTGTAAATCTTATGTGCTATTATACAGATTTTTTAGTATCTTTTATTTTCTTCAATCAAAATCAAAGATGAAAATGTTCTTTCTCAGAATTAAACAAGAAGAAGCAGAGAGAAGGAAAGCCAGTGAAAAGGCGCGGAGGGAGGAAATATTCCGTCAATATCAGGACAAAAAGCACCAGGAAGAGGATGACTACGCACCGCCCGTCCGCAGGAACAGGTCTAAGACGCGAGAAAAGCAGCGGCCAAAGTCCATGTTTGTCAAGGGGGAGCCCCAGTCGGGATCAGTGGAAGGTTTGCTCTCCAATAGTTCTCAAGAGGATCTGTCTTCTCAAGCTTTCACTATCAGTCCTGGTCACACAGGCTCTTGTAAGTAGTTGCTAGTTTTCTTCTTTATTTTCTTGTTTTTGAAAAGTAACTGTCTTTACTAATTTAAACTGATCTAATCTGGATGCCCCGTGTTTTAATGAAATCAGCTGGATTAAAAAATGCTCCTGATTTGATATTTTACACAACTGAATTGCTGAAAGGAACTTTTAAAAAGTTAACAGTGAATTAGGAAAGATTTTGGAATACATGACATCTGGATTAGACAAGGTTTACTGTAAATCTTATTAATGTTGATTATTTACTCATGGCTTATCTTTAACTTTTTTATATTGACAAATTTTGCCAAGATTTTCTTTTCATGTGATATATGTCTTTATTTTAATGAATTATTTAAATAGCACACTTATCATAAAATATGCAATTTACAAACCAGTAGATGTACACTTCTGGTTTTAATGACATAATAGACTTATCATGCATTTCAGATGTAAATCTTTCTTCTGAGCCCCAAAGTTATAATATACTGTAAAATCACAAATTTTTGTGTTTATTTTTTTTGTTTTCGAGGTATGAAGAGACCCACAAATTCATGTCCACCATGAAATGTAAAATGTTACACACATTACTATCACTAATTCTTTATCCACAAAATCAAATCCCCATGAACAAAGAGTTTTTCCACAAACCATGAAAATTTGACCCCACAAAAATATGTGATTTTACAGTATCTTTTATTTGAAATCCAAAGCTCTCTGCACATGTTTCTTCAAGTACTTTATATTTTATTTGTTTTTAAAAAAAATGCTAGAGTTTTGTGTGTTAGGATTTTGCTCTAGAATAGATTTGACGCAAGTTTTCTTATTAACTCATTGATTAGTATAAATATTTTATTTAAATTGTAGAGATTTTTCAAACACAATGCAATTTTTAGGTTGATTTAGAAATTTACATAAAGTATTAAATTTTATATGTACAGCAGTTACGTGTACATGTGTGCACATTCAATTTATCATTGCAAATAATATGAGTGCATTTGTTGAATGATATAAAATAATTCTGCACATAAAACATCAAATTTAATAATTCTGCATTTAAAACATATTCAAACATTAAAATTGTATATGAAGTCAAGTTTAGATTAGAAAAGATTCAATTCTATCAGCATTGTTGTTTTAGCAAATTTTCTGTTGATTTTAAGTAAACTTCATTTCATGTCTTTTTTCTTTGTATTTATGCATTATTTGTTGATATGACACAATTGACTAGCGATGTGTGATGATGTTCTGTCTTTTTGTTTGGCATGTGAGCTTCAGTTGCACCTGATTTGCTTGTTTCAGCGGGTGTCGGTCCTAGAAAACCCCCAAGCTTAGCACCACGCCCAGGAAAAATACGAAAAGCAGGTGTGTCCATGTTTTTAGTTTCCTTTATTTTCCTAGATTTTTATCTTCTCTCTCTCTTTCTGTCATTTTGAATTTAGTTTCTTTTCTCTTCAGAACTACTGGCATTTTAAATATTGATGTTATGAGTACAGCTACAATTAATCCGTCTGACATTGTTTTATATACACAAGTCCCAAAACTGAATAAATTGTGCACTGGTCTACAAACAATGTGGGAAAATTGCATGTTGTTGAAAAAATAATCAGATTGCATTGTTTTGTTTGTGTGATTTATTTGATCTTTACTAATAAATGTCTGCACTGTGGTGTCATAAGAATACAGGTGGGGATTAGGGAAGTTATTCTGTGTGGAATCTATTTTTAGCATCATGTAACACCCTGACCAGCTCCACAGAAGGCAGACTGACCTATAGGAGACCACCATCACCTGGTAATATATTGTTTTCCTCCATTTATTGATGTACTTTGAAGTAAAATATTGTGAACAATGTTTAAGCGTGAGAATTGAAAATAAAATACATGTTCATTCTGGTTTTTTAGATCTTGGTCGCTTGAAGGGAAAAGGCAGAGGAAGTACAGAGAGCAGTGAATCAGGATCAGATTATGCAGGTAACTTCAGGAGTAGTGAATATCCAGTAAATTTGGAACAGATTGTGGGGTACATTATGTACAGATAAATACTAACATAGTTAAAAATACATTCTCTGCTAAAAGCTCTGAACTTCTGCATACTTTTCATTTGTAAAATATTTACTGCTTCTGTACACAAATACTGGTGTGATGTTAATTTTGAATTCATGATCTTATTCATTATAATTTCTTTCTAGGTCCTAAACTGTTTGTCAAGCCAAGCTCCAAGTCAAACCGTCACATCATCATTAATGCCATCAGTCAGTGTGTGTTAGCGGGGCCTGTCAACGCGGACCAGAAAAACAAAGTTCTGGAGGTAAAGTTTTACCTCTGCCTTATTCACACGGAGAAATGATTAAAAAGTTTAGGAATTATGGCGTTCACACGCCAATTTCTGATCAATTGTCCGTCCGTCTGTAAACTTTTCACATTTTCAACTTCTTCTGCCACTGGGCCAATTTTAACCAAACTTGGTACAAAGCATTCTTTAAAAATTCTAAAATCAAGGGCCAAGACCCCTCAAAGTAAAAAACCTTCCTCTCAAGAACCACTGTGCCAGGAAAGCTGAAAATGTGAAAATCCTTGGGTAGTGAAGATATTAAATTGTTAAAATCACCCAGGGGAAGGGCGGGGCCACAATAGGGTAAGTTTTAATAGTATATAGAACAAATCTTTAAAAATTTCTCAAGACAGGAAAGCTGAAATTTGTGTTGTTAATTTGTTAAAATTCATGGGGCCACAATAGGGAATCTTATAGAAATATCATTTTAAAAATCTTCTTCTCAAGAACCACTCTGAAACTTATGTGGGAGCATCCTTGGATAGTTGTAAATTGTTAAAATCAATAGGGAATCCAAGTTTTACTCCAACAAATCTTTAAAAATCTTCTTCTCAAGAACCACTGGGCCAGGAAACATCATCTTGGGTAGTGTAGATATAAAATTTTTAAAAATGCCAATAGGGAATCCAAGTTTTACATAGTGTGTGTTATGTGGGGTAGTGTAGATATACAATTGTTAAAATCATGACCCCCGGGGGTAGGGCGGGGCCAGAAAAGTTTTACAAAGAAATATATAGAACAAATCTTTAAAAATCTTCTTCTCAAGAACTCACTGGGCCAGGAAAGCTGAAACTTATGTGGGAGCATCCTTGGGTAGTGTAGATATCAAATTGTTAAAATCATTAGGGCGGGGCCACTAGGGAATCCAAGTTTTAATGAAATATATATAGAAAAAATCTTTTACATCACCCAAGTTTAAAACTTGTAAAAAATTTTAATTCCCATTAGTTTACTTTGCTTTAGCTGTCATGTGAATGCAATTTGATTCGCATTATTTAAATTCGCATTAGTTTACTTCGCATTAATTTACTGCAAATTAAACTCTCCGTATGAACAGGGCATTACATTTAATTTGTAAAATAAAAAACAACATTTTCTTGGTGTTCTTTTCAATTACATTTTTAGCTCACCTCAACGAAGTTGGAAATAGTTTTTTATCTTTTTAAGTACTTCTATGTCCTATATTGATTAGACATGCATACTTTAATGTGTTTCACTGTACCAGTCAAAATTTTTTTTCAGCAAAGGAATGACCAGGTTAATGTTTTTGGAGCAGGTTAACATTTTTGGTGCAGTTTTTGGTGTAGGTCTCATGTCCAAGGAACTATAAGCCCTATGTTGACCAAACTTGCATGGATGGTACATCTAAGGATGTACATAACCAGGCTTGCTTCGGATGCTGAATCTGACCTACATTTTCCGGTTGAGTGAACAGGTTAATGTTTTTGGTGCAGGTCTCATTTCCAAGTAACTACAAGCCCTATGTTGACCAAACTTGCATGGATGGTACATCTAAGGATGCACATTAGCAGACTTGCTTCGGATGCTGAATCTGACCTACATTTTCCGGTTGAGTGAACAGGTTAATGTTTTTGGTGCAGGTCTCATTTCCAAGTAACTATAAGCCCTATGTTGACCAAACTTGCATGGATGATACATCTATGGATGTACAGAAGATGCTGAATCTGACCTACATTTTCTGGTTGATTGAACAGGTTAATGTTTTTGGTGCAGGTTTCATTTCCAAGTAACTATAAGCCCTATGTTGACCAAACTTGCATGGATGATACACTTTACAGCTGAATCTGACCTACATTTTCTGGATGAGTGAACAGGTTAAAGTTTTTGGGGCAGGATTCATTTCCAAGTTACAATGAGCCTATAATGGCTAAACGGAATAGGTCCTACCAGACAAATGACCACATTTTCTGAATGAGTGAACAAAAGTTTTTGATGCAGGAGAGATTTAATACAAACTTGCATGGTAAGTAACATCTGCTTCAGATGTATATAGATAATAGATTAAATTTTTAAGCAGATTTCATTTCTAATTAACTATGTATTATTATACTAATGGAGGTTATTGAACATTATTTTCCAGATAATGGACCAAGTAAAAAGTTATGGGTGCAGGCTATCACAAGAAACTATAAGGCTTAAATAAACCAAACTTTTAACACTTAAACTTGCTTCAGATGCTGGTCACATTTTTGTGATGAACTAGATTGAAGTTTTTATATAGGTCTATTTCAAAGTATCAGCAAAATTTCATAAATGTTGCATTTTTATTAACTTTTTTAGCTATATAATAAAGGCAAATTGTATCTCTATTTATGTTTAGTATATATATACTTTTGAAATGTATTGAAGTAATCAAAATACCGGTAGATTTGAATTTTAAAAAATTGTAACCGAACTACTGTTAATTCTATTACATGATTTAAAAACTCGAGATACTGTTGGTTGTATTGAAGGTCCTGGCCAAGTCAGATGCCAAGCACTTCCTGATCCTGTTCAGAGACCACTCCTGTCAGTTCCGCGGACTTTACAGCTTTGATCCGGATACGGAGGATTCCCTCAAAATCCACGGAATAGGTCCCAAACAAATCACCAGCAAAATGATAGAGAGATTTTACAAGTAAGATATAAATACATCTATGTGGGATGTAATATTTTGTTAATGTATTGTAATCATTGTAAAAATTATTTGAAACCTATAAATATTGGTTCACTGCAATAAATGAATTTTCTTGTATGCAGTTTCGGCCATGGTTTTTGTCTTCCTCTGGAATATTACATATTCATGGTTTAAATCTGAATTTTACTTTGACTTGCTTAAATCATGTTAAATACCTATACTGTATATGAAGTGCAGACCTGTTTACTCTTACAATTTCGCCGTATTTTGTACGTATTTTTAGTCTAAAATACGTCTCACGCTTTGCCAATATGAAAATACGGAAATCGGAAATATATTAATTTGGAATTTAACAGTTAGTTTTCCTTATGATCTGTTTTAGTTTCACCCTTTTTATTGCTAAATAAGAGAAAGATTTCGAACACATAAGCGATGTCAGGTTGCCAAAACGCTGTGGTATTATTTAATGACAAAGACCTTGTTGTTAAACCATGTTTTCGTAATCAGAAAAGCAGTTTTTCTCTTTTAATATATGTAAAATTGATGGAAAGTGAAATCTTACTGGCAAATGCCAAATCTCACGGACAAATCTAATAAAAAATACTGAGAGACAGCGTTATGGGTAAACAGGTCTGGAAGTGCATTTGTTTCTGTTTGTTTTCATCATGTTGTTATGCAAACAAATCATGAGATTTTTGTCACATTCTGTAAATTCCTTATCTATTAAAGTATTTTATTTTATCTTAAGGTATAATTCAGGAGGCAAAAGCTTCAGTGAGGTGACTTCCACCAAACACTTGTCTGTGTCCATAGATGCTATAGTTATACACAATGCCTTGTGGAAGACATCGTCCAAACCCCCTCACAAAAAGTGAAGCCCATCAATAATGGATGGAAAATTCCAATGCCTTCAGACTGTGTAATGGGAAATTCAATTGCTTCAGGCCATTAGCTGCTGTCCCCAAAATATTTCCGTGATCCCCAGAGCTAGACATATACCAGGTAGTACTGTCAAGATATGTGACTTTCAAAGAAGAGTTTTGACTGTGGTCGGCCATATTTTTATGTTGCAGAGGCTGGATTACTAGACTTGTACAATTGTAATCATCATACTCTGAAATATAAAGCTCATACATTTACTCATTTTCTGTCTCATTTGCATGTGCTCTTTCTACATACTCAGTTTTCAGGAATATTAATAATTTTGCTTATCCTTTCTAACAAAATGTAAACATGTATTTTTGCTTCTTGTATAACATCAAATATTGCCATTCCAACAAATCTTGTGTGTATTACTTAGAAGCTTGTATATAGACCTTGAAGCTGACTTTCTCCTCTCAGAAAAATAAATTTAATCAAGACATTCCCAAATAGCCTTTTAAAGTGCTTTTCCATATGCTTGTAGTGATTATACATGTACAATTAATTTCTTGCAATTTTATTAATTTTATAAAGTTACTTTATGATGTGTCTAAATTTGAATTTCATATAACTAAGACTTTAAAGTCCTCTTCTTACGTCCATGTTATATCAATGGTATGCATCATTTACATGTGTATTTACCAAAGTTGCTAGTATCAACACGGATAAATACAGTATGTAGTAATTTGATGCAACTTGTAATTTAGAGTTATGCAGATGAAAGCAAAGGAAATTATTTTGAATACTGTAGATTCCTTATTTTTCGCGAGTACTTATTATGATGCTCTTCAACATCAAATCGCTTGTAATTGGTCAAGAGATTTTACTTAGATTTCAGCATTATAAAAATAAAGGCGAGTCATTTTATTTCGCGTGTGGTGCTTCTCGTGAAATAACGCGATAATTAATTCCACTCATACATTTAGGAATCTACAGTAATAGAGACTATGATTAATTAAGAATGAAGTGGTTTCTCCTTATTTTTCAAAGTGAGCTATTCATAGTAATGGGTCAGTTCCTCTGTTTGTAAATGTTAATTGTGTCATTCATCTGTGATATTTTTCTTGCCATTTTCAATGATCAACCTGCTATATTTCAAATTTAAATTGCAGAAAATTTGATAAAAATTTAATATTTATGTAGATCTAGTTGAATCAATGTACCTGCAAAAAAATTCAATTAAGGGTGCGACAAAGTAATACATGTAGTAGAAAATGTTTAAGACATAAGAATTGGCAATATTAAAAATCTTAAATTTAAGTCGGGATTTTTTATGCATAAGTCTTTTTTTTGAAAGATAGTGCCTTTTAATAAACTGTTGCATTTGCTTTGTGAAGGATTCATAGCATTGTGATTTTTTTTTTTGGTTCAGATTTTTGTTATGCATACCACATATCATTTTGCATAATTTAATGAAAATCTCGCACTTGAAGTTTTCATTTTGACAGTCTTATTTATTTTGATTTCTATTTAGTATATGCATTATACTTGTATTTTGCTTTCAATTGATTGTATGAAAATAACCTAAAATGAGGCAAAAGAAGATACACATCCTAACTTTTACAAATTGTACAAATGATCTTTACAGAATCAACATTGAATACATGTAATAAGATTATTGTGTTCTAAATGTACATTGTATATTTAACATATTTTATCGATTTTTTCTTTATCAATTAATTTTCACTGTATGTACATTGTACTTAATAAATTGATACATTTCTGTCATATCACTGCTTATAATGGCAAGTTCTATTTTCTGGGTTGTGATTATTAAATTTAATTTTTTTTGTGTTCAGCTTGGATTATTTTCTACATATTTTGACCCCCATGTGCTTTATTTTGTTGCTATGGAAACTGGTTGTGTTTAAAAGGTGATTCAAATGCAAATTTATGTACCTGCAAGATATTATTTATATTTCATAAATATTTAATTCAGTATTTGAGTTTTCATTGGTAAGAATTTTACATTAATTTTGTTCATGTTGCATGTAGACATTTAATATTGATGTTGAATTAAAGACAAAGATGTAATTCTGGGTCAGATTTTATTACATGCAATTAAACATGGATAGACATACAATGTATCCATTATTATAAATTGTAACATACATGTACATGTATATTCAATATGAATTCTAAAATTTATTTCAATACTTCATTTATCTTAAGAAACATTTGATTTGTATAAGATAATTGGTGCACTGTGGCTGTATTCATATATGTAAAAAAAACTTCTCTTTGCATTTTTTGATTAGCATACTTGATTCTGATTGAATAAGGCTGAACTAAACTTAAGATGGGTAAACCAACCAGTGTGAATAGAATTCATTGACCTGTAGGTGGCTAATAAACAGTCATGAAGATACTGTATTTCATTGCAAAATGTTACCTATAAATATAAAACTTAGATCAAAACTAAACATGCTAGAACAGATGCTTTTCAATGTCAGTATCTCCAAATATGCCAACCTAACACAATTTTCTGGCTTAAGTCACATGGCTTGAGGTGTGCAAATAACAATCCATTGTTAGCCATCAATTTTAGTGTTAGTGATCATCCTTAGTGTTATCTGGATGTGCCAGATAATCAGAATCAAGTATGCTCTTGGCTTGATTCTGCGGCTTTGGTAGAATTATCAAGCTCTCTGTAATAAAAATAAACCTGTGATGTAGATGCTAGGATCTCAGTAATATGTACGAGTTTATAAAGAATGCTGTTCCTGGAAAGAAATTCAAAGTGCTTTTTACCCATTGTAAGGGAGGTAATATAGTGTGTAGCACAGAAAGAAGGATTTTTTTTTATATCTGTGACTAAGAGAGATCTTTTTTTGTAACTGTGCAGCTTTATCTGTAGGTTGAATTTTTTTTTATTGTTATATATTTATTTGTAAAAGTAAAGAATTAATAATGCATTTTTCTTGTGTTTTGATTTTTGACAAAACATTCAAGGTTGCACTGAATTGATGTAATGAAATGCTACATGTTAACACTATTGGGGTCCTCTTTGGATACAAAATTTAAAAGCAGCTGGACATGTCAAAACACCCCTAAAGAATGTGTCCCCACTGCACTATTTATCTTTGCCCTTTTTTAGCTTACCTCGGTGAAGGCTTTAGCATCCACATCCTGGTTAAGTTTTCGGAGCAAGTCCAATCCCAAGTAACTATAAGCCCTACCTTGACCAAACTTGCAATGAGCATTGCATCTAGGGACAGACACAGTGACTACAAGACTTGGTTTATATGCTGGAACTACATGTTCAAATTGAGTGACCAGGTTTATATTTATAGGAACTAGCCTATAAACCCTACCTGAACCAAACTTTCATGAATGAAGCATGTAGGGATCTCTGTACACAATCAAACAAATTGCTTCAAAGCTGGATCTGACCTATAATTTCCAGACATGTTAACAGGTTAAAGTTTTTGGTGCAGGTCCATTCCCAAGTAATTATAAATCTTACCTGGACCAAACTTACAATGATGGTGAATCTAGGGATGGAGATACTATCAGACATGTTTTGGATGCTGGATTTAATCTATGGCTACATTTTCCAGAAGGGTACTGTAAAGCCATGCAAAGTTAATTCCTTGGTTCTCAGGCCTTTTTCTCAAGAAATATGATAAGGGAGGGAGTAATTTTTTTTTATACTTTTTTATTGCTCCCAAATCATGATGAGGCAGCTTTTTACAGGTTAAAGTTTTTTATAGCAAGGTTCTAAGCAGTTGGAAATTGAAACTTTTCAACAGCAATAAATCATAATGATCCTTGATTAAGTCTCTTTATGTTCTTAGTGTAGTCTACTTGCATGCCACATTATATTATAATCAGACTAAAACTATTTGGAGAAGCTTTTTGAGAGTATTACACAGAAATTTTTATTTTTAATAACCATGGCAACACCATTCATTGAAGTGAAAAACTGATAAACAGAATTATGTACCTTAGTGTAGTCTACTCGTGTGCAAAGTTACATTGAAATCAGACCAAAACTGTAGGAGGTGTAGCATTTTGAAAAAATTTCACAGAAATTTCTATTTTTAGTAACAACAACAACACCGTTCATCGAAATCAAAAACCAATACACAGAATTATGTACCTTTGTGTAGTCTACTTGTGTGCCAAGTTATATTGAAATCAGACCAAAACTGTAGGCGGAGTAGCATTTTGAAAGAATTTCATATAAATTTCTATTTTTAGTAACCACGGCAACACCGTTCATCGAAATCAAAAACCGATATACAGAATTATGTATCTTAGTGTAGTCTACTTGTGTGCCAAGTTATATTGAAATCAGACCAAAACTGTAGGCGGAGTAGCATTTTGAAAGAATTTCATAGAAATTTCTATTTTTAGTAACCACGGCAACACCGTTCATCGAAATCAAAAACCGATACAGAGAATTATGTATCTTCGTGTAGTCTACTTGTGTGCCAAGTTATTTGGCCATGCAAAGAATTCCACAGAAATTTCTATTTTTAGTAACCACGGCAACAGTGTTCATCGAAATCAAAAACCGATAAACAAAATTATGTATCTTAGTGTAGTCTACTTCTGTGCCAAGTTATATTGAAATCAGACCAAAACTGTAGGAGGAGTAGCATTTTGAAAGAATTCCACAGAAATTTCTATTTTTAGTAACCACGGCAACACCGTTTTGAAATCAAAAACCGATACACAGAATTATTTTTAGTGTAGTCTACTTGTGTGCCAAGTTATACTGAAATCAGACCAAAACTGTAGGCAGTAGCTTTTTGAAAAATTGTTTGTACAAAACCATTTATCGCATAAATGACCAGAGCTAAAAATGATGAGGATGGTGATTTGTTGTTTTTATTTTATTGATTTAGCATTCAAAAGGGTCAATGAGGCACCATTGGAAGAGATAAGGGAGGGCCTAAGAACCAAGAAATTCATTTTACATGGCCTAAGGTACATGTATTTGTTTTAAGAGTAGTTCATTAACTTTATGGCCTTCTGTAATTAAACTTGCAACGAAAATCCATCTAGGGATTGACATGACTAGATTTGCTTCAGATGCCAGAACTGACCTACATTTCCTGGACAAGTAAGTTTTTTGAAGCAGATCTATTCCAAGAAGTGCTGCTCAAACCAAATAGCAGATACTGACTCTTGGAATGCACACAAATTGAAAAAAAATTTTTGCTGGCAAAGACAAAAATAATTGCACTTATCCACACAAATGCATATAAGCAATAAAAATACATGTAGTCAGTAATAAAATGTTTTTTTTAATTATTAAATTTCATTTCCTCAAGTATGTATAGAAAATGAAAATAAAATTAATGTTCATTAATCTCATAAAAACATTCTTGATCAAAGCAAGTCATCTAAATTTATTTTTTCAAGAATATTTATTTTCATTTATACTAAGAAAGCACATATTAACAGCATAACAAGCACATTATATCTTTCTAATTATAGACACTATAAGGTGTCTTATTTAATAAAAATGTCCTACAGTTAAGAACTGTTAACACATTTCATTAACTGTTGCACTTTAACATTAAACTGTAACATTTTTACACTCAGTAACTACTACACTTTAACAACTGTAACATCTTTACACTCTTCTTGGACTTTTCCTTGTTTTTGTAATTTTAACACTGTCTGTTTATGTTTTTGCCCTAAAATACGGAAAAAAATTGTTCTATTTAACATTTCATTTCCTAAAACCATATAAATATGTGTATTTAACATCGAAAAGTTATGATATATCACAGGAATAAGTGTATCATTCAAATAGCCATAATAATGATTCAATTCAAGTGTATCTTGTATCAATAAGTCAAGCAGCCCCTGTTAATACTTGAAATAATATAGAATCAAATAGGATATTGCTTAATTAATAAAGAACCAATTTTGTTTCCTTGTCTTTTTGTCAAAATTTAAGGGTGTAAAAGAATTATATCATTTCATTCTTTAACAGAATCACTTTAAATTTAATATTATGATAAAACTGTTTAACATAAGGGAACACATATTTCATTATTTTGTCATGCTTTTTCATCCTGATACCATTAAGATATATGTATTTCATTACAATACCGTCTCTATGAGCTGACAGTTGTTCCAATGAATTGAGGACCACATTACAGTAGGTACAGTTAAACCCAGTAAAAGCTGCCAATGGGGTGTTACCTGTAAATGAAAACAAGAAATCTGTGAGCCAATGCTCACTAGGAATACCCCCACTCTGATGTGAATAAACACTATCATGTTAATATGCACAAGTTCCATTACGGACAGATGCATAGACAAACAGGAAGTTGACATCAGGTTAAAATTAATCCCACCATAAAAAAAAATGTTAAATTTACAATGCTATGATTAGTTGATGAGAAAACGGTGACAAAAAATTTGTTATGTTTGAAACGGACAGACGCACACACAAACAGGAAGTTGACATCGGATTTCAACAAAAATGTATCCCACTGTATGGCATGTCTCATAGAAGATTGTGTTATCCTTTATAGAAAACTGCGACGAAAATTTCTTATTTATGAAACGGACAGACGCACAGACAAACAGGAAGTTGACATCGGATTTAAACAAAAATTTTCAGAGAAGATTGTGTTAAAATTTCAAGCATCTGCGACAAAGAAAAAAGAAAAATTGTTATGTATGACATTGGATTTGAACAAAAATGTATACTGTATGACAAGAATATATAAAACTACACATGAGTAGTTTTATGCGACGAAAAATTTGTTATGGACAGACAGACGGACAGACAGACAGACAGACAGACAGAAACACAAGGGTAAAACAGTATACCCCCTCTCCTTCGGAGCGGGGGTATAATAAATGGTCCATGAAAACTGGGATTGCATGGTTAAAAAAAAAATGTCACATACATTGTGATTATCTGATAGCTCAAGACTGAACATATCCCTTATAGTATACAATTATGTTTTTTTTTTTTTAAAAACATTATACATATATTCAAAAAATACTACATGTAGTATTATATTTATTAAATTTTCTGGTCATACTGACGATGACTAAATTTTCATGACGCCTTTATATTTTCACAAGATATTCATTAGCTCTTTTGTAGTGAGACAAAAAATTCACAAATTGTGGCTATTGCTCTATCTACTTGTAAGGAAAACTAATACAGTACGCCAATATAATTAAAATTAGATGTTAGATACACTCACATACTCGCTAAACTAACATCTAACAACATCCTGTAGAGGGTCACATCAGAGGTCAAATTTGGAACAACTCTAGACTTATTGGCTTCCATCAAATATACAATGATTTTGCAGGCAACGATTTGATTGGTTGATATAATTTGACCTCTGAAGTGACCCTCTACGGGATGCTGTTATAAATGTTAATGAAGCAAGTATGCGAGTGTATCTAACATCTAATTTTAATTAGATTGACAGTATGCTAGAATATAAATTTAATGCAAAAATCAATTTTTTCAAATAAAAACTGATTTACAGTACTTGGTACATGTAAATTTGATCATAAGTAGAATTTCAAATTGACTTGTATTCTCAGTTTTTGCAATGTAAGAAGACATATAAAGAAAATTGTCTTTGAAGGTAGGTTTTTCTATAAGCCATCTTTTGTACAATTTCACTACAAAAATTTGAATTCAAGATACCCTGTGCTGCTGCGGCAATTTTGGCTTTCTTGGCATGTTTACTTCCCATTAGATGTTGTTTTTCATGGCTCTCCGATGTGTATATCACTTTACAAATTTCACATTGTCCATCATATGCCTTTCTCTTCAATGGTAGTTTGCCTAAATGATAAATGGAAATCTCTTTTTTTACAGCCTATGTATCCGATGTTTTGTATTAATTTAACAGAACATTTATAATCTAGCTGTATGTAGGATAAAATTTTGATGACACAACAATTTACAGTGTATATACCATCTCTTGTTATTTGAGCAAAACTGTATGATTTTTTTCTGGGTCAAAAATTATCATACAGTTAACTGCTCAAATATTTGGAATCCTTTTGAGTTCAAACTGAATCCTATTGATCTCTATGACTTCATTTTAAACAAGCATAAAAATCTGTTATTTTAGGACAGAGCTGTTAATTAAGACATTTTTTTTTAATTTGATAAAAATATAAAATTATTAACATTTTGAAAATAATTTTGAATCAATAAAACTTAATTCTTTTTTAAAATGAAATTACATGTACAATCTAGCAAGAACAGTGTCTTTGAAACTGAGTGCAATGAAAATGGAATGGCTAGATGGTTGGATGGATGGATGGACAGACAGAGGGACTACACATATACAAAGAGTACCACGTTATCAATAATTCATTGCCCCATTGCCACTGTGCATAAAAGATATTGTTAACTTAAATATTTATAAGTATTGGTTTGTTTTGGATTTTTATGACAGGTAAAATGAAGTCATACGATTTATCTAGTGGAAGAATTTTTTTTATCATTATACAATTGTAAAATCACAACTGCAACATGATCTAAAAATCCTTCCCTACAGTTTGACTCCCTCAAGGACCCCATACCTTAAATTTATGGATTCACACAAATATTTTCTAGGAAAATCTGGAAAAAAATAAATAGACCATGTTTAAAAATTTATTGGAGGTCATATTGTGGATAACAAACAAGACACATGTACATCAGCAAATTAATGTACACTCCTTACTTACAATTACCGGTACATGTATTCATTAACAACATACAATATTTTACCTTGGAAATAAATTTCTATTAGATTATCAGTATAATATCAGGAAATGAAATAAAAAGGGCATGGGAATATATACATACACATGATAATATATAGTACTGTATATAAAATTTACTGCACAGTTCATTATATCAAAGTTAAAAATCTAATATATTTTTCAACACTTTAATTTAAAATGTTAAACATTTTAATGAGAAACTAAGCTCATAATAATAATTACCTAATGCATTATCAACCACAGCTTGTACAACAGGATTGACCCCTGGAGCTCGTGGTGGCTGCTTCACAGCTGGTTGTGGAGGGGGTGGGGGTGGTGTGGGGTTAAATCTGCTGGTGGGACTAATAAGAGGTGCTGTTGCCAGTTTGGGTGGTGATGGTGGAGGTGGAGGGGGTGCCACCTCAGTATTTGTTGCTGATGTTGTGGATACATCTTGATTTTTGGCTGGTGTTATTAATTGAGCTGTGAGAGGCATTAAGGTATCAGAAGCCACAAAGCGTCCATATGTTTTCTTTTCCTTCAAGTTGGTTGTTGCTGATGATGAAATCCCTGGACTTGCATCTAAACAAAAAGATATGTGTTGAAAACAAAAATGTGCTGTGAATAAAGTCAAATCTTATTATACATACTAGAGCAGTTTCCTGATATGAAGCCTAATGCAAACTTGCATTTCAAAAACAAATACATGTACATGTACTACATTAATTAATAGAGCACGGAAGTGTTTGTATTTAAATAACTTTTTAAAGAATTACAAAAAGGATTTTTAAAGAATATATTTCAAGCTTTTAGAATATTCTAAACTGTACAATGCATTTAAATTTTTACATGTATTATTTTAAGAAAAGAATTTCATTTTTTGACAATTCATGAGGGCATGAACTACAACGCTTCACACAGGCATACATAAAACATTTTTTGTAATGATATCCATAAATGTATGTAAATATTCTGATCCCCCAAATTTTATGTAATTCTGGTAATAGGTAAAGCATTTTGAAAAAAAATTTCCACTATCAAAGTTTGACTGCACAGTGTTCAAATTAATACATGGTGTGACCATGTAGGCCCTCCTATTACAATTTTTAACATTTACATGTCTTTTCTAAGGAGTTTGTCACCCTTCATGCTGTGTGAAAATGCTGACAACTACGTTAAACACCAATATCACTACATTAGCATAATTAGTACATACTTGATACTACAGTAGCACCTATCCCTGCTATTTTGAGTTTCTTGAGATGTTTACTTCCAGACTGGTGCTGAGCCAGCTGCTCTTGGGAATTCAGTGAAACATTGCATATACTGCAGAGGAATGGCATCTGTTTAAACAAAAATATAGAATGATCTATAACTATGATGAAGTAAACTTGTTATAAATAAATGTATTTGTAGGAAATCATTCCATATCAATAAATGTTCTTGCAAAGTCTAATTATTAGACTAATATCACAGCAAATAGTACTTCTACACTGTAACTTAACAGTGTAAGTACAGCAGATAAGGAAATTTTCTAGCTAGCTGCAGACCTGTAGCTCACTGGTCTGAAGAAAAACTTAGGATGGATGATCAGAGATCTACAGTTCCATCCATAGAAAAAAATGCATTGGACCAAATCTTTCCGTCTGAAATTGGCATTGTACAATGGACATAGGCAAAATTTTTCTTATATGGTTTCAATTTCAGGCCCAGGATGGCTATTTACAAAGGTTGTAAAGAATGATTTGTTATGGAAATACTGTAAATCACTTTTTATTCGCGAGAACTTTATTTTCGCGTAATTATGCGAGTCCGTCTGCTCGTGGAAATTTATTCTCGCGTATAATTGTATTATTAATGTTTATATACAACAGAAACCACAGCTCGCGAAAATTTTGTCCAGCACTCATTTTCTTTCAATGTGTAAAAAAGCAAAACAGTTTTATGAATTAATCAATGTAAATGATATTGAACCCACTGGGAAAATAAGATGGAATGATATTTTTAATTTAGGGGAAAGTGAATGGAAGAGGATTTTTAAACTTCCATTTAAAATTACAAAAAATAGTAAACTGCAATGGTTTCAATACAGAATTCTAAATAAAATACTAGGTACAAACTCATATCTATGTAAAATAAAGAAAAGAGATAATAACTTATGTTCTTTCTGCAATATGGAAGAAGAAACAATAATACATATTTTATGGGAGTGTGACAATGTACAAACCTTCCTCAACAGTTTTGAAAGATATTGTGAGCAAAAGATAGGGTTGCAAATTTCATTTACAAAGCAAAGTTTTATTTTGGGATTTCTAGTAAAAAACAAAGACATTCATAACTTGCTGTTCCTATGGATAAAATATTATATATATACAATGAGATGCTTAGGAAAAAAATTAGATGTCAGACTTGTGACTTCACATATTAATCTCTTTTATGAAACTCAAAAATATTTAGCATATAAAAATGGTGACAGAGAGATTTTTTTGACACCAACTGGAATCAGTGGAATCAATTGTTTTTATAAAATGAAATAGTTTTTTTTATTTATGTAAAGGAATTAACATGCCATCTCTCTCTCTCTCTCCTTCCCTCTCTCTCTCTCTCTCTGAAAAACCAATCTGTAATATAATAAATTGTGTATTTTGATTTATGAAACAGATTGTGTAAAATAAATAAAGAATTAAAAAAAAAAAAAAATTGTCTCGTTAATAAATTTGTAAATATCAAAAAAACTTAGTCGCGAAAATAAGGTGTCACGAAAATATAGTGATCTACAGTAGTAAAAGAAAGTAGTGTTGTAAAATCGGACATATTTTACTATCGATTATCAAATTGAATCGGAAGAACACAATCGATTATATATTCGATAATTTGAACTATTGAAAAGGTTACATTTATTAATTCAGCACGAGTAGAATTCCATGACATGTGACCGCGAACTTCAACTTATCTTTATTGGCATACGACATTTTACACAATATACAAATAACCGAGTCAATCAGTATATTATTTTTGCATGGAGGCCCATCTCCCTTTTTCAGAAAGCCAAAAAATTTCAAACTTTAGATCGTATTGCGCCAGGATATTGATATAATTAGGCGTCAACCTCTTCACCATGCACGTTCGCCATTTTGTTTACAGCCGATTAGAGTGACGTCCCTTTGGTGAATATAAAATTTAAACCTGATCGGCTTAAAAAATACGGCATGAAAAATAAAGCGATCTATCGATGATAATATTTACAATCGATTGTCGCCGATCTGGGCCTTTAAACGACGATTTTTCGATAGTCGGCGACTATCGTAACAACACTAAAAGAAAGATAAGTAATATTTTGAGATGGCACTTGTATATATGTCTTGATCTGTAAAACCAGAAAAAAATTAAGAAAAAAGCACAAAGTTTGACACTCAATCATCATCTTTGATTCAAGGGAGTGCCTCAGTTCACACCTGATTTTATTCAGTTTAAATTAAATGAACATAATGTGTATTCAGAGTATGCCTAGGAAGAATGATACTACAGAACAGTACCGATTCTAAAACCAAGATCCTGTAAACACAGGAGTTTCCAATTTTATCAATAAAGTCAAAAATAATCACTTGATTGATCTGCAGCCATGATTTTGTACATGTATTATCATTAATAGCCATGCAGTCATACAAATACTTGCCATTTTTGTCTTTATCAAATGAAAATCAAAATTACGAAAAGAATGAACTGAAATAGCTAAATAAAGCTACCCGAAGCACAGGTTCAACTTCATGTGCCCGAAGTAGGTAAGTACAGACTGTGGACAAAAGTATCGGAACGATTTACGTTAGTGTATTTATTGATGCACATGTTCGCATTATTTATAGCTGGCATTTTCGGTGTAGATACGATTTGATGCTACACCTTGGGTATTTTTAGGTTGATGACTACTTCCTGTTTACATTAACTACGTCATTATTTATCGTCTGCAATCTAAAAGTAAGTAAAATCTGTCCCCAAAAATCATGCCTGAGAATCGTCATTATGCATCGGATGGTCTTAAAAAATCCGTTGTTTTATTAGTTCAAAATGGAAATTCTTTTCAAAAAGTTGCAGATATGCTTAAAATGTCTAAAACAACTGTGCATCGAATTTATAAAAATTTTTGTGAACGAGGAACTGTAAAAACTGCCCCGAAAACAGGTAGGAAAAAAAGTTTGAGCGGTCGTGACGGGAGAAAAATTTTGCGAGAAGTAAAAACTAACAGGAAAACTCCGCTTGCTGATTTGACGGAAACATTCAACAACAATGAAAACAGAAATGTGTCTAAAAAGACAGTGTGGCGATTTTTGAAGAATCAAAAATATCATCGCTGTGTCTGTAAGAAAAAAATAAGGATTTCCCCTGTAAACAGACAGCGGAGAGTAGCATGGTGTCGTGCGAAATCAACATGGACAGACGAAGACTGGAAAAAGGTAATTTTTTCAGACGAGAGTCAAGTTGTTATTGGCAGTGACAATAAAGTTTACATCTGGAGAAAAAGTGAGGAAGCATTTAGACCAGAGTGCATTTCACCAATTAAAAACAAGAAACTTTCCGTGATGGTTTGGGGTTGCATTACCTATCATGGCGTCGGGACATTAACACGTGTGGAGGGAAACATAAATTCAGATAAATATATTCAAATTATAGATGACAATCTATGGCCAGTGATAGCAAGACACTTTCCGGACAATAATTATATTTTTCAAGATGATAATGCACCAGTTCATCGGTCTAGGGCAACGAAAGCTTTCATGGAAAACAGCCATATCAATACAATGGAGTGGCCAGCGCAGAGCCCCGATATTAACATCATAGAAAATTTATGGTTAAAGATTAAAAGAAAAATAGAACAATCCATGCAGGAAATAACTTCTGTGGAACAATTATATGATAAAATATTTTCAATTTGGACTCGTTTTGATTGCGTAACAATTCAAAATTTATATCGATCTCTCCCCACAAGAATCGACGCGGTACGTAGGGCCAAAGGATACATCACAAAATATTAAGGTAAGTTTTAAAAAATAACCTTTGTTTTAATCAGAGAAATGCAAAATTGTTTCTTCTTTCAAAAATTGTAATTTATATTTATTAGCTTTTACGTAATGCGGCTATTTTAAGCATCGAATCAAACGCGAGTATTTTCCAAATATAAAACGACGACGTAAATCGTTCCGATACTTTTGTCCACAGTCTGTAGGTAAATAAGACCACGGCAGGCAACCTACGTGTACGTAGTACGTACCTAAATGTACGGACCTGCTTAATACGTTAATCAGAAAGTTACTAAATTCTACTTACTTTTATAGGTTCTACAAGTTCAAGTCTTTTTTCTTCTGACTTCTTCAGCCTGAGTTCATGATTTCATTTTCCTACTTTCACTTTCAACAATTCCGAGTCGTACGCTAACTATTTCGATTTCGTTTAAAACATGGTTTGGGTTGCAAAATCGGGTATATAAAGTTACATATTATAATACTAAATTGTATATATCCGGTTTTTGTTAAGATTGTCTCAAGACACTGTGGTTTTAAAAACGTACAACACCGCGGGGGAAAATTTTGCTATTTCAATTAACCCCTCCCCTCACAGGCACTTGGTTCCTTAATAAATTTTTAACCCATGGTATTATTATACTGATATAACTGAAACAAGTGCCTGTGATCTGAAAATGTTTATTTTACACCTCTTTCTCCGTTACAATTGGCCACATATCATTTAGATTACCAGTCTGTTTTCACACTGGCTAATATACCGGTACTAGTAATTCAAACACCTACTTGTTTTCTTATCTTTCTAAAGAAGAAAAAAAAATTAATTATAGTTTTAGTTTCAGAGGATCAATGATCAAAGCTCAAAAGTCCATTAAACAATAGAAATCAAGAGCAGATCAAACACGGACGTCTAAAAATAAGAGCTAGAGGTGGGATCAGGTGCCATGGAGGAGTTAACATTCCCTGCCGACCAATCCGACACGCCTGTCGCGTTCTTTGTCATGATCGGGGAAAAATACTTCGGCAATTCAATGTGTATACAATGGCCTAAAATCATAGTAGGAAAAACATTAGTCAGTATTTTTGACTTAATGATAGATTGCATTTGCTGAGCAACTTGAAGGTCATAGTATCGACCATAGAAATTACAAAACGATATGACTTTGAATGAGATTGCTGATATTTTTATTTCATTAATTTAATTTTTTTTTTGTCAATAACTTTTCTCGTTTTAGCAAATTGTTTTTACATAGAACATGCTCTTGCGTATCGAATCAACTGTGAGCTATAAACCCCGAATGCTAGGTGATAAAGGTATTTGCTGAATTGACGATTGAAAAGTTTAAAAGTCATTATACGTTTATCATGAAGCTTTGTTGTTAAATTACCAATAAATTTTTTTCCTATTAAAATATCCAAATATGAAATAGATGTGCCAGACTCTTTGGTGTCATTTATTTCAAGTTTGCCGGGAGGTATCGTATCGACATTTATAAGAATGGGAATAATTATTGTTAATTGACAATACGTCGTCGATATATCTAAATGTCGATTTGAAGGCCAAAGCAATTGTTTTTCTTCATTTCACGTACACAATTTTGAATTAATTATGCTTCATATGGATACAAAATATATAGGTCTGCTATTAACGGGGCGCAATTGGTACCCATGGGAATTCCATTTGATTGTTGGAAGATCTGATTACAAAAATCACACAGATATTGCAAATCAGAAACTCAAACATTTTTTTATATCAACTTCAGAGTACTTGTGTGTACAATCAGAATGTTCTGTTACAAAATAATTTTGCAAATGACCGTTGACGAGGTTACTGAATTCACAAATACATTCCATTTTTACTGAAAAAGCAGCTGTCAATGATGTTAAAATCCTGGACTTTAATTTATTGTGGGAAATAGTTATGCCAAGATTAAAAAAAGAAGTTTTTATGTAGTTGTATATTTTAGTAAAATTTTGTGACTTCAAGTTTAACAAAAGTTCTTTGAATTTTTTTTTTAGTATTCACATCGGATTTACGCAACTTCTCGACTATATATTGTTGCACAGTATTCCCAAAGTTTCTCCTTCACTACCGCAATATATTATTGAAGATTTTAAAAGAAGTTTTGGTAGAACAATCACTGGAACCCGCTATGTATCTTTGCAAGGATTTTTATGAAGTTTCTGAATTCAAATCAGATACGGTAATCCAAATTCATTTTGGTTGTTGGTATAGTTGTAATACTAAAATTATTGAAAACTGATTCTGAAGAATTTTCTCCTTAGAAAAGGAACTATGAGTGTAAGTTGGATTACCACTTGTAGAATTAAACCCCAGTTCCTCTAAAATGTAATTTAGAATAATGGGCTTAACAAAGAAAATGTTACATGCTTTGTCAGCAGGGACTAGTACATAGTAATCGTGTAATCTATGTCATTCTTTTTTCACTTCTGAATTATTGAACACAGAAGGATAGTAGGTTTTCACTCTGTCCCTCAATCTCTTAATGAAAGATTTTAACAAACATCTGATACACTAATCCATTCTGACACTGTGTCAAGGTCTTCTTTTACTTGTTTGACCCATCGCCTGGCGTAATCTTCTACATTATCCATAATATTTATAAAATTATTGTGCCAGTTAAGATTTATAATGAATATTTTTCCTCCCCGTAGTTGAGTTATTCCTCCTGTGTTTTTGAACATTATTTTTTGGTCACCGAAGAAATATAGATAAATTTTCAGGCGGGAATTAGGGAAGTATATCAATGCAAAAGTTATCAGGATCCATTATTGTTTTCCTGGCATGTCGATAAAAAACTTGACCTGAGACCATTGGGTAAAACGAACGACACCCCTGCAATTGCAGTTGCATGTGAAAACAAACATTGAAATTCTTTATAAACTTTGTGACAATAACACGTTTAGTTGGAACTGACTGAAAACAATATATTATACTTCATGTAAAATAAGTTGAATCTGATTGGTCGAGAAACATTTGTTAAAAAACACTACTACCCGCTGAAAAATGAAGCCACGCCCTCCTGCGTAGCAACAGTCAACATTGCTTCAAAAAATAGCCACTGCGCAGAATTTATGCGCGCACGGTTCACTGTTATATGTATTTGTATAAAACATTCAGCATAATATAATAAATATTGCATGTATTTGAGTGTGACATTGAAAATTTTCACCCCTCAAAAACCATTGTCAACCTCGGCTGCGCCACGGTTGACAATGGTTTTCTTGGGGTGAAAATTTTCAATGTTACACTCAACTACATGCAATATTTATATAATATAAATCAAACTATTATAAATAAATAAAAACTTGTCACATTTTGGTTCATTGATTACATTATCTTTTTTTAATTAAACTGGAATATACAATATACATAGTATGTGTAAGTAAACAAAATTTGAAACGAAAATCACAGAGTAATAATTAGGAATCTGTCCATCAGGGTTGCTGAGTAACTGCTGCAAAAATCGTCATCCACAGAATAGTGTCCCCTAAGAAAATACATAAATTATTTTAAAGAATGATGTGTATTTTTTTTTTCAATATGACAAAAATAATCATACATGCATCAAGAGCAAAATGCTGATATTTACATTTGATTCGCAGGCCGTTATTTTCAGCAAGATGAACATTCTTATTGTCAAAGACCTGAAGTTTCTTGGTCAAAGTTCTGGTTTGGAAGGGTGCATTTTCAATGTGCCGCTTTTTGCGAACTGTAGGAATTCTCATACACAAATTCTATTTAAAATAAACATTTTTTGAATATACATGTAATGCTATTCTATCATTTTCTTTAATTCTTTAAATTCAGAAATTGTTTTTAGAACATGTACTTACTTTATTCCCACTAACGGTGATGTTATTATATATCTTTACATGACATGCAATAGTAACAAAGCCCTTGTCTTTTCCTGCAAATCGGAACCCAAACATCTTTGTATAAATGAGGGTTTTATTGTACGTGTAAAATCCTTCTAGGAGTTCTTTGTGTTTAGCACAGCTCTGGTCACTGTAAATATCATGAATAAGTTTATTGTGAAGATCCAAATGCATTCATTTAATAAAAACTAATATAAAACAAACAGTTTAATACGAAAACGTGTTAATAGGATTAATGAACTTCAAGGCATTTCAAGTTTTGCATTTCGGTATACACGAGAATGCATATAAATTGATAAAGTTTAGCCAGTCCTACGTATTTCTATGGAAATGTTGGCATATGCTGGAGAATTAGAAGTCTTGCAGTTCCTAGGGAGTAAAGGGTTTTCGAACACATGAACAATTTTGAACTAAAAGAGGTATATCTACCCGGTTAATATTCACCATACAAAAGCTTCCAAATAAGTTGGAACATATCTGTCTCGATGGATTTTGAGAGGGCTATTTTAATTTCTCGATCTTTTCATTTTTTAATGATCTGATCTTGTAAAATGGTAACATGCCCTTCCTTGAAACAAATTTGAATCTGAGCAAATCACAAAAATATTCTTTGCAGCAAGTTTGATTAGTTATAAGTAAGAGCTTGAAGGTGTGAAAAAATGTAACATACGACGGACGATAGCAATGTACTGACTGAATAACTTTAAAATAACTTATCAAAACATATTTAGAACCTTCACCACCTGAGGTGATTATTACCCCTATGTCAACAAAAGTTGAATATATTAACCTAACTGTCAACGTAGTACAAGGTACTAGCGATAAAACAGTTTAGAAAAGCAAAGTCCTTTGCCTCAAATCTGCTTTTAATCAAGTAACTAACATATTTTTTATTCAATTTTCTAATCATACATTTAATAAATGATATTTATCACTGTATGAGAATGATTTAACGAGGTCGAGTCTAATGCGAGTGCGCATGACTTTGCGCAGCTTTTTATTTTCATGCAGTCATTAGTGCGACAGTACACCTTTCCCAAATATTGTGATTTTAATATAAAATTAACATTATCTTTAACGTTTTCTGGTCTGAAAATGTGATTCTACGACAATAATTAGGAAAAACGCTGAAACAGCTCTAACGACGTCACAGTTTTCCGATTTTGAAAGCAAAGCACGACGCTGAAGAATGACACATGGCTCGTTTATATGTACGTAGACGCCCATTGATATTACACCAAAAACTGATCATGTGTGATGATAGAACATAAAAAACATATACTAGCAATCAAAATATTGCTATTTTTCACCAAAAACATTCTATTTTTTAAATCTGAAAACAATACATATAACAGTATAAAAATTATTTAACGAAAAATTATCAAAATCCCCATGGTAGAAATAATTAGACTCGGCCTCGTTAAGCTTAAATTCCCTCTGTCAGTATTGCCTGTAAAAGTTAGCATGAATGAAACGCATTTTCATCACTTGTATATTTTGAAAAGAGTAGTAAAACATTAGCTGCAAGTGCCCATGAAATGAAACTTATTATTTTCAACATTATTTTGTAGTTGAAGGTTGAGTTTTTTAAAAGACGTCATGTGCCATGTGCCAGTAGAGAGCTGCAAATTTAGATCTGTTCTTGGTGCTAAGGGCATTTAAGCAATGGGGAACCTGAAAACGTTTTAAGTGTAACACAAGTTATTCAAGCTTTGGATGAATACGAAGTACCCATTTTACAACCCTTACAACAATGGTGATATTCATAAGAGCAAAATTAACGTGTAACCTATTTCTACATTTTCAACATGCACTAGTTTGTACCAAGATATAGAAATTAATAGTCATCCCTCTCCTTTTTAACTTTCGTAAATTTGGGTTGCCATACTTTACTGCAATGTTTGCATAGTTATGAATTTCCATTACCAAAATTAGTTTCAAAGTTTCTCACGATTAAAACAGGAGCACCCTATCTCTCTGATTGCTCCGCCCCCCCCCCTCCCCCAAAGTCCTGATTTTTGACCTAAAAAATCTGCTGATAGACTTTCCAAGAGAACAATAACCACAATACGAATTGTTAGCACAAGAAAGGAAACAAATTGTTCATCCAAGTCTTGAAAGACTCTTTCAGAAAACTGGAAAACGAAGAACAAGGTTCACTCCTGGCCTTTTTTGGCCCTGGGAGTTTCTGAAAAATCAGAACGGCTCATTTTTAATTAAAATTATGTTTTTCACTTAGACCCTTGGTGACATCATATCAAATAAAAATAACGTTTTTTTTTTCTCTTTCTCATCATGAATTGCTTCATTTTCCTCGATTCTTGAAAACTTCTTCAAAAAGTTGAGGCCAAAAATTGAAGCTGTTTTTTTTTAAAAATATATTGCATACCCCCGACCTCTGAACTAAAATGTTTAATTTCATAATGAAAGAACTGATTCAGAAGACGCTAATCCATGATTTTTTTTGGCGAGGTCATATTTTAATCAATAGAAATTGCAGTTTTACAAAGCCCGAGTTTCAAAACTTGTACTCTCAGAGGAATTTTTTTCTTGATAATTAAGCACTTTATGTAAGTCTCTACTTATATGTGCTTTCCCCCGTGAAGGAAAATCTAATCTTGGCCGTTTTTTCCGAGAACGAAGAGAAACTCTGCGGGAGACCTCCATATGGTAATATGTGAATAGATTCCTACTGCTTCGGCTAAAGTTGAACTATATTCTCAATTGTTACCTTCATTTAAACAAAATTGAATCTGATTTAATCACTAAATCATTCTTTGCAGCAAGTTTGATTATTTATAAGGAAGAGCTTGGAGGTGTGGAAAAAATAATGTGACAAACGGCAGCGATGTAATGGCTGAATAACTTTAAGATAACTTATCAAAGCATATTTAAAGCCTTCACCACCTGACGTGATTATAACCTCTATGTAAAAAAAAAATGAATATATTGACCTAAATTTCAAGGTACTACATGGTACTAGTGATAAAACAGTTTAGAAAGACAAAGTCCTTTGCCTCAAATCTGCTTTTAATCTTGTAACTGACATTTTTGTTCAATTTTCTAATCATACATTTAATAAATGATAATAAATACTTAGATTGATTAGATTTAAATTCACCCTGTCAGCATTGCCTGCAGGATTTAATATTATTTAAACGTATGCCACCATACTATTTTGTAGCTTAACGTTTTATTTAATAAGACGCCACATGCCATGTGCACCATTTGCCAGTGGAGAGTTGCTTTAGATCTGTTCTCGGTGCTAAGGGCATTTAGGCAATGGGGGAACCTGAAAACGTTATTAGTGTAACACAAGTTATTCAAGCCTCGGATGAATATGAGGTACCCATATACATGTTTCAACCCTCAGAACAATGATGATATCTATAAGAGCAAAATTAATATGTATATTTTACTTCTACATTTTCAACATGCACTAGTTCGTACCAAGATATAGAAATTAACAGTCATCCCTCTCCTTTTTAACATTCGTAAAATGGGGTTGCCATACTTTACTGCAATGTTTGCATAGTTATGAATTTCCATTACCAAAATTAGTTTCAAAGTTTCTCACGATTAAAACAGGAGCCCCTTATCTCTCTGATTGCTCCGCCCCCCCCCTCCTCCCCCAAAGTCCTGATTTTGGACCTAAAAATCTGCTGATAGACTTTCCAAGAGAACAATAACCACAATACGAATTGTTAGCACAACATCCAAGTCTTGAAAGACTCATTCAGAAAACTGGAAAACGAAGAACAAGGTTCACTCCGGACCTTTTTTGGCCCTGGGAGTTTCTGAAAAATCAGAACGACTCATTTTTAGTTGAAATTATGTTTTTCACTTAGACCCTTGGTGACATCATATCAAATAAAAATAACATATTTTTTTCCCTCTTTTCCATGCAGTAAGACGTCATTTTCCTCGATTCTTGAAAACTTCTTCAAAAAGTTGAGGCCAAAAATTGAAGCTGTTTTTTTTTAATATACTGCATACCCCCCCGACCTCTGAACTAAAATGTTTAATTTCATACTGAAAGAACTGATTCAGAAGACGCTAATCCATGATTTTTTTTGGCGGGGTCATATTTTTATCAATAGCTAAAGATGATCAAATTCACTCATTTTCTTCAAAATTCAACAACATTGCAGTTTTACAAAGCCCGAGTTTCAAAACTTGTACTCTCAGAGGAATTTTTTTCTTGGTAATGAAGCACTTTATGTAAGTGCTTTCCTCCCGTGATGGAAAATCTAATCTTGGCCTTTTTTCCGAGAACGAAGAGAAACTCTGCAGGAGACCTCCATATGGTAATATATGAATACTGTATACAAGGAAATTTTCGCCCCCGTTTTATTTCGCCCCTTTCGCCCTACTCTCATTTGGGCGAATTTCAAACGGGGCGAATTCCAAGAATACAGAATAATTTCTTAAACAAAACTTGGATTGGGCGAATTTAAAAAGGGGCAAAATTGTTTGCAAGTATGAAAGGGCTAAAATAAGACGGGGCAAAAATAACCCTGTATACAGCAGATTCCTACTGCTGAGGCAAAAGTTGAATTATATTCTCAATTGAAGTCTTACTTATATTTTTGAATATTCCACAACTCCACCGAATTAGTTTGATTAGTTTTAAGTCCTTTTGAAATCCACGTTTCCCCAAAGGCTGTACATGTCTCAGGAATAACCGAATAGTTTTGCACTGAAAAAAAATTAGAGGCTATTTTAGAAGCATAAACATATAGTATTCAAATAAACTGTGAAACGCAGAATACGTCGGATAATTTGCAAAAAAATAAGACTTCATACACAAATTCATTATTAATGTACAATAAATCTTTACTGAGTGATTAATTTACATGTACATATATATACTGTACCTACGTACTTGATCTCAGAACAGTTTTTAGTAGAGTTCATTTCGAATTGCAACCTGGAATATAATTCTTACAGACTACTTCCTTTGATATTTTTTAAATTAATTAACTACTTAATAAATTTTTAATTACATGTATTAAAAAACTTCCTTAGCTGTCATTTCTCACCTCCCATATATTTGATGAACATGTAGAATTCATCTCCGATGTACACACTGCTGATATCGGGAGCAGAAAGATCATTGACGGCTTTAAAACGCATCTCAACAGAATCGACTTCTTTATAGTTTTTTGGAAGTTGGTTGTAGTCCCTGAAGTATATTAATATTTTTCTTTGTAAAAAGAAAGGTGCAAATGATAATAAATAAACACACTTAAAATTACTATATTTTAAAAAGTAATTCTATCAATGTATTGTCAATGCAAAATAACGCAAACAATTCACTGTGTAAATAAAGGACTGCAACAATTTAAAATGTGAAAAACGTCAGACAGCATTTGACTCAGTTTTGGGATTTCAAATTGCTGATAAATAAGATCAATGTAGCGACCAAAAGACTTGCGAAATGATGAAATCAAATGAGACTGTTAATATCCTTGTTTCATCAAGTTGTCTATCGATAGCTTTCCACGTTTAAGAAATTGTTCATTCGTAATGCATGCATAAACCCCATATGCATGTGATACTTAAAGGTATATTGCTTCATATTGAGTAAGGGAAGCTAACTATTGAAAAGTTAAAGTCAGCACGTTTATCACGTCTAGTCTAGTTGTTAGGTTACCTGGCAAACACTCCAAAAATGAGACTGACAAGATGTACGACTCTTTGGTATCTTTAATCTAAAGTACACTGGGATATATCGATTTCGACAGTATATCTAAATGTTGTATTGAAAGCAAGTATTTTTGCAATTAGTATCCAATGTGTTGGATGACTTGATCTCCAAAAACTAGATATTGCCAGGGGTACCTGTAAAGTGCGAAACGAAATAGAAACGAAACGAAACGAAACGAACTGAAACAAAACGAAATCTGCCGAAACGAAACGAAATCTACCGAAACGAAACGAAACCTACCGAAACGAAACGAAATCAAGACGAAACGAAACGAAATCAAAACGAAACCTGCCGAAACGAAACGAAACAAAACTTTCTAGAATGGTTATATGGTCTATTTTTACTTCATATGAAATTTGTATAGTTCAAGCACCACAGGCAATTGTTTCGCTTCAAGCTCATACATAGGAAATTGAAAAGGGGGGGGGGGCTTTACCAACAAAAAAGGTAAAACCCAATTTTCAATGCCTATATAATATATATCTTTGCAAAAAAAAGTAGGGGGACTAACACCTAAATCTAGGACCGTATGTACGTAGAAAGGATACATAAGATTTCGGTTGGAGTTACACATGGGGCGCCGTTTTGGTATTTACTGGCAAAAAGTGATATTCGAATAAGTGATATCATCTATGTTACATGTATACTTATACGATAAAATCAGACATCTCGGAATGGAATACTAAATACTCTAAGTCTCTGGTTTATCCTATGTTTTAAGACATTCGCAATACAACAGCACAGGGGGGGGGGGGGGGCTAGGGGGGCTTAGCCAATGTATAGACATTAAACATCGCTGCGTAGGTTAAGCCCCCCCCCCCCCCCACTAATTAATGAAGTTCACCCCCCCCCCCCCCGAAATAGGATTTTCGCGTTGGGTCAATGGTTCTGTTTTCCTTTTTTTTTTGCTTGTCAGGTTTTTTTTTTTTTGAAGGTATAATTTTTTTTCTTATACTTAACCCCCCACTTTCAATTTGCTTAAAAAATTCCGACGCCAATGAACAGTACAGTGACTTTACTTCGACCCGTACATAAACGAACCTTTACATGTAACACATCAATTTTGATAGATATGATGTATCTAGATAAATAAGGACTGAAAATTATAGTAAGGTATAGAAATTAGAAAATACTGCACATATTGAAACTATGCATTTTTGCAGCTGGCAAAAATGTAAATACATCATTAGACCAGATTAGACTGAGAAGGGAGCATAATTTATCGGTAATTAAATTTTATATTAACAAGTGCTTGAACTATATAAAATTTATTTGAAGTAAAAAAAATCCATATGCAGTTACACATATATAATAATATACACGTAGATCTACCTTGATTTGAAAAAAAAAATGATAGTTTTGTTTCGTTTCGTTTCGGCAGGTTTCGTTTTGATTTCGTTTCGTTTCGTCTTGATTTCGTTTCGTTTCGGTAGATTTCGTTTCGTTTCGGTAGATTTCGTTTCGTTTCGGCAGATTTCGTTTCGTTTCAGTTCGTTTCGTTTCGTTTCGTTTCTATTTCGTTTCGCACTTTACAGGTACCCTATTGCCAATCAGAAAGTAGAGCATCTCATTAATATCAACAACAGAGTTCTTGTGTGTACAATCAGAATGATTTTTAACAAAATAATGTTGCAAATGACCAGTGACAAGGTAAAAATTACTCTTACGTGTTCAGCAACATGTCGTTACACCTGCTGTCATGTGATTCTTTAATAATAATTTTGAATTTACCGGGTGGACGTAAATTTTGTATTTATTGCCAACCGGTAAATTCAAAATTTACAACAGGACAATAATAATCACAGTTGAGTACTTTGAATTGGTATGTGTATCTTTTGCAGTTATTTATCAAATTAAATTTTTAATGGACGTTGAGCTTGAATTCTGTTCTGTTATGATCTCCATATTTCATTATTAAACAAACATTGTAACTTAAGTAATATAGTTTACACTTAATTTTGATTGTATGGTGACAATGAAGAATGAGCTTGTGCGACACCTGATGATCAACGATTTACTGTAAACCAACTTATATCCGCGTGCTAGAATTTTTCGCGATGTTCGCTAGAGCCTTATAATCGCGAATATTTCTCGCCGCGAACCAGTCCTTAAAAATAAATCCTCGCGAACTAGTTTTACTCAAGTAAATCGCGAAATAAAGTCGTCGCAAATAAAAGTTGGTTTACAGTATCAGGCATGTTTCATGCTTTTCTGAATTTTATCTTATCTTTTGAAAAAAAGTATATATACATGTAGTTTTCTGATCAGGAATAAAGGCAAATAGAATGTTATTAAACTTCTTTCGCCTTTTTAGTCTTCTTGTGCATATGAATAGAATTACTTGAAATAACAAGTCAAGAAAATATGTCATTTGATATGGTTAACCGTTTAATCGGCCGGAACGTCTTTCGGTTAACCGATTAGCAGTACTAGTATTCGATTGCCATCCCTAATATTTCAAGTTCCATTTTATTGAAAAAGCATCTGTTTATGACAAAAAATGAAGACTTTAACTTATTATTGGGAATAGTTGTATAAAATGTGGATGTTACTGATTGTGGTAAAATTGTGTGAATTTAAATTTTCTGCAACTTAAAAAAAACATGTCAATTACATAATTGTATTGCTTTTATATTAGAAGATATCCATTTATATCTTTTACTGAATTGTTTATTTAAAAAAAAATGAAAAATACAGATGATAATTAGACTGCAAACATTAAAAATTATTAAATTTGCACCCAACTGCTGTTCACTTAGATACACAAATTCAAATATTTTTCTGATGATTAGTTTTGAATAAACAATCAAGGGATAATTCAGATAATTCTGGGAATAAAAAAAGTACTTACTTTTCTTGAAAAACATGTGCGACAGTTTTATTTATTCCTTCTTTAGGAACATTGTGACAAGTGATGACGAACTTATGTAGTCCTAGCCCTCCTTGAAATATTGAAGGAGTAGAACTACTATTGGGATTAGGATGAGGTGTAGGCCAAGGACTTTTAATGCCGTCGAATTCTTTGTCATAAACTACTATGTTTGCCGTAAGTCCATTATCACTTTCGTTCTAAAAGAAAAAAAAAATGAAGTTTAAAGGACAAATTAATCACTGAAGGTTATTATGTCTACGACGAATCTACATACTGCATTTTCAAAAGTCACCGATTTAACGGAAAACTTTTCAGAAAAGTTTTATTCAGAATAAGTTCTTAATTCTCATTACATTTATCTTATAATATTTTTAGTCGATGCATTTCTTATTACCGTGGTTGGATCCTGCAGACATTTAGTCTTAAACTTTTTTTTTGTCAAGTGTATTTTCAGTTTCTACACATATAGCTTAATTAAAAACAAAACAAAAAATGGGGATTGTAGGCTAATTTTGGCGATATAGTACATTTGATATGACCTTTTTGCACCAATTTGTATCTTAATCAAAAATCACATCCTCGACGTTTTTCCTTCTAATATTTTTATTTAAATAAAGTATGGCAAAAAAAAAAAAAAAAAAAAAAAAAAAAAACTATTAGTCTATTTAAAATAAGACACCAAGAAAATATTTCAAATTGCTTCGCATAATCAATTATTTGACCTTTCTGCATTTCAAATAACATAAGATAAAACAAGAAAATCCTCCCCACCCCTAAAAAATATTTTATACATGTACTTACATTTAGAATGTGTACAATCAAAAAAGTCTTCATCGCAACTCCTTCTCTCTGAGAAAAATTTGAATTTTTCAAACAGCTAAGTAAAAGCTACATAAATGACCCTTTAAAGCAACTGTTATGATACAATTTTACTCTTCTGCACAGGTGTAAAGAAAATTATTTCACAAGATAATTATTTTATACTGATAGACCTGTCATAATGATAAAGATACCCCCTGTGGTTAAAGGGACATGGACACAGTTTCAACTGGGATGTAAACAAAAATGAATAAAAACTTTCATGCTGGTATACGTAGTTTTAGATTTCTAGACTATC